TACTGGACGGTGGTTAGTAGATTTTCTTTATTTCCGAGATGGTGGTTAGTAGATTTGGTAGTTACTGGACGGTGGTTAGTAGATTTTCTTTATTTCCGAGATGGTGGTTAGTAGATTTGGTAGTTACTGCACGGTGGTTAGTAGATTGGTAGTTACTGGATGGTGGTTAGTAGATTTTCTTTATTTGCGAGATGGTGGTTAGTAGATTTGGTAGTTACTGGACGGTGGTTAGTAGATTTTCTTTATTTGCGAGATGGTGGCGCCACCGGTCGAAAAATAGTGGTATTCCTCGATTAAATGAGATTTTAACAGTGTTCTGGTCGTTTATTGTTATTATCAATAACAGTGGATTAATCTACGTACTTTCAGCTACAAATCGAGTGCTTTATCTAAACGAAAGCTGTCCGTATAACGGTGTAAGAGCTCTTCAAAGTGAACTAACCGGGGTACGCATGACGAGATACAGTGTCAACCGTTGCAACTAAAGTGCGAATTTAACAGTGTTCTGGTCGTTTATTGTTATTGCCACTGAGAGGAGATTAATCTACGTTCTTTCAGCTACAAGTGGAGTGCTTGGTCAAGACGAATCAGCCGTTATAGGGTACTAATCTACATTCTTTAAACTTCGAATGTAATGCATGACGAAGAAAAGTGTTGCCTGTTTAGTGGTTATGTAATTGCAACAGATTTCGATCGGATTTACACTGCTAAACGAGCATCAGTTTTCCTCGTCATTTTTATTACATTCGAAGTTTAAAGAACGCAGATTAGTACTCTCTGGCAGGTGGGAACCAGTAATTACAAGAACATTGTTAAAATCGCAATTGTTTGCAACGGTTGAAATTTTTTGATTAGCTGAAGCACTCAATTTGTAGCTGAAAGTACGTAGATTAATCCACTGTTATTGATAATAACAATTAACTACCAGAACACTGTTAAAATCGCAATTTAATCGCGGCTTACCACTATTTTTTCGACCGGTGGCGCCATCCGTGGCGAATCGCGGAAACTGCTAGCCATATAATTGGCTAGCAGTTTCAGCGATTCGCCACGGATGGCGCCGCCATTCAAAAAAATAGTTGTATTGCGCAATTAAATGCGATTTTAACAGTGTTCTGGTCGTTTATTGTTATTTTCAATGACAGGAGATTAATCTACGTTCTTTCAGCTTCAAATTGAATGTTTGATCGAGGCGTAACCTGTCCATATAACGTTGGAAGAGCTTTCAAAGTGAACTAACCGGGGTACGCATGACGAGATACAGTGTGAACCATTGCAAACAATTGCGATTTTAACAATGTTCTTGTGATTACTGGTTTCCAGCCGTTAGAGAATAGTAATCTACGTTCTTTAAACGGTGTATCTAATGCAAAACGAAGAAGAACCATGCCCGTTTACCGGTGTAAATGCGTTCGAAATCTATCGCAATTAGGGTTGCTGCCTCATAATGGGCTACGGTAATACAGGCATAACTAATTTTACTAATTCAGGGGTTCTGCACTATGGGGTCCATGCAATAAGTCCTGAGGGACAATTTGAGACTAATGACGTTCATTTTAAGTGCTTAATTACTGAGATATTTGCATTTTTCTATTACTTGAAATCTTCACTCACCTGTCGATATAATTTGGCTAGCAGTTTCAGCGAATTGCCACGGGTGGCGCCACCGGTCGAAAAAATAGTGGTACTCCACGATTTAATGCGATTTTAACAATGTTCTGGTCGTTTATTGTTATTTTCAATGTCATGGGATTAATCTACGTTCTTTAAGCTTGAAACTGAATGCTTGATCAAGACGTAACCTGTCCATATAACGTTGGAAGAGCTATTCAAAGTGAACTGACCGGTGTATGCATGACGAGATACAGTGTCAACCGTTGCAAATAAATTGCGATTTTAACAGTGTTCTGGTCGTTTATTGTTATTGCGACTGACAGCAAATTAATCTACGTTCTTTCAGCTACAAGTCGAGTGCTTGGTCAAAACAAATGCTGTCCATATAACGTCGTGAGACCTGTCCAAATATGAAGTAAACAAAGAGTGCTTGACGTGACCCAGTGACTTACGATGTTTCGGGGGCTCTATGGCCCCGCAATCTCACCACGCGGAGTCCCTCGCGCCTGCACAGGGGGTTCTGTGACCCCCCTGAGTCATAGATCTGGCCGGACGACTTTAACTTTTTATCGTTTCATTATACCCAATCAATTGGTGGTCGATTGGTGGTCATTGGTGGCGTAATTGGTAAATTTATTTCAAGTACTGAGACAAATGTCGAACCGAATATTAATTTGACATAAATTTTAGTAATTCCCGATACCAAGTGATATCGTGTATGTCAATTATAATTATACATGATATTAATTATAACTTTTAAACGTTCAACTATTGTTTCGTTGGAACTATGTTAACTTATTTTATTTATCTTTATTTAGATACTTAATTATGCATTTTATTTCGTCTCTACGCGGAATGCAGGTGTACTGGCTTCTCAGAGCGGAGCAACGATCATTTGACGTAAATGGCGCCACGGGTTCTTTTCATCATCGTACATATTATTTTGATATCATCGATTGTTTATTTTATTGAAAATTTAAACATTTAAACAGCATGTGCACGGGGACACACTGCTTTCAGTAAAATTAATAACTGATACTTGAATATTTCGATTAAATGTCGACTATGTTTATTATTCTTTGAGTTATCTTTACCTCTGTTACTGTTATTGTTACCGTCGACATTATATAATGTGCGTACATTGTTAATATGATTCTATTATTAATACTTCTGACAAAATTAAAAAATACTGTCATCGTTAAAAGTAAATTTTACTTCTTTGGAATGATGATATTTGAATAAAGTTTTATGTTGTTTTCAACACACACTATGACCTAAATATCCGATTTACATTCCAACAATACGATTTTATCTATAATCGAGGTTCATTGACAATAACATTATGTTCACGCTAAACATTTCCACATATTTGCTAATCCTTTATACATGTTTATTGAGATTCCGTTTCAAGGTCTCTGTTGCTCTGTAAGAAATACAATAGAGTTATCAAACAAAATATGTAAATGTAGGAACAGCAGACTATAATATTTACCCATTCACGAGCCATCATAAGAATCGTATTCTGAGATAGTTTCGGTCCTATAAGTGGATTCATCTGGGCCATGTAACAACATAACCAGCTACAAAAATGAAAAACACGTTAGGAATGTACAAATGAAAAGTATACAGAGACACCTTGTGCAACTTCAACTTTTGTTAACTTACAATAACCAGCATGTGAAAGCTGTCAAGATAAGTATAAGCTGAAGAATTCTAGAAAAAAAGATAGCCGTACTTAAACCATGAATGATAACGTTTTTATAAAACTAAGAACACTTCGTTACTTTAAATTCTTTCTTGTGTAGTGAAATAAGGTTCGAAGAACACCAATTTCAGTACAGTAGATTGAAAATGGATCAGACAACGTACCCACGATTAACTCCTTTTGGAACATAAATAGGTAACACCAATCCTATTACACCCCAGAATAAAGTAAAAAAGATCACTGCCAATATTGATGCTCCCATTTTGTTTTCTTTTAATCAAATTGTTCTTTTGGTGGTTTTGCAAACAGCCGAGCCCACCAAGCAGACAACTATATACACTAACTGACCACCCACCCAAATGTGAATCACGTGAAAGAGTTATCGATTCATTTCGATGAATCGCATGTGACGTACTAATTTCTCGAACTCGGGAGACACTATACTGTTTCTCGATAATCGAAAGTGAACAGAGAATTGGAATTTTAAAAGTCGTTTATTTACGGGTCTTAAAGTCTTAAGATTACTAACAGAACGTTAAAAAGTGAACTGTATTGGAGTTATATTGGGGGTGTGGGGGAAGGGGGAACCCTTAAGGCATTTTATTCAAACAATAGAAATTTTTAAGGTTACACTGAAACTTGAATTCCGGAAAGGTACGAATACTTTCCAGTAAAGTCTGTTTAATCTCCAAATAGTCTGTTTTGCGTTATTTCTGTACTGTAGTTCAATCTTTGAACGTCGTTACAATTTTTCGACACTTCTACGACCGATGGCCCATCTCCACCGCCAATCGACGAACACTGATCGATTTTACGAGTTGTTATTCCGGACTGGTTATCGAGAGATGCCATCAACGGTACCGTCATATTGTTGACTGACTTTTTACTCGATGTGTCCGCCGTGTCATTCTGCGGTTTATCGGTACAAGCTTTCGATGTATTCGAATTTAAAGTTGCGCATGAAGTTACAAACTTTTCTAGAATACCTAAAAATTTTTTATCGTATCGATAACTGATGCCACGTATTAACCCTCGACAGGCCGATTTAGGATCCGGTCGGACCACTGTTCATAAAGAATCGAATCATTATATACATGCTTTACCTGTTAAGTTGATACTTTCTTCAGAGAAACACATATCATCGCTACTACTAATATTGTCTCTACTAAAAAGGTGTTGTCTAATGTTAGACAGATTTCTGGTTTTTGATTTACAGTTTCTCAACGACTGATCAATGGAATCATCCCTACATGGCGTTTTATACATGACCGAACGTTCCGTTCGCATTTCACGTCCCTTCTTAATATAGGGTATTAAACACGATAGATTCAACTGCGTCCTACAAACGCTATTCGCCGACTGTATCGATAACGGTGCTTTGTAATTGCTCACTGAAAAATACCCGACAAAGTAAATAACAGTTATTATACAAGTTTACTAAGTTGTGTTTACCTGTGTATGGAGTCCTTATGTACGTCAAAGGTTTCTGCTGATGATCATAAGTCGATCCGTGAATTGTAGACAATAATCTGCCGCTTATATCTAGAAATGACGATTATTAGTCACTATTAAGAGAATGCTTAAAGCATAAATGTCGATATTACATAGTATTACATGTACCGTGAACATTATCACCTTGGCCTTTCCCACTTTTTCCGCAATTTGTATTTACCAACGATGTATTATTCATTATGGAAACTAAAGCAGGTCGCAATCTTTTCACAACGTTCAAAATTAGTTCACATCGTTTTATTACACGCAACTGTTGTGGTTCCGTGGCACTGTCCGTTAGAAGACTCTTTGAGGCGGCATCGGCTTCGAATATCGCTTAAAAGTAAACACGATGTTTCATTCAAAGTGGTAATTCAACAAACCTAATCTATAAACTCTTACCAGCTTTTAATTCCCTGGTCATCATTATCGTTTGCCGTTCAACTATGTCGTTTCCAATATCGTTTATGGTTTTACTAATCTGACGAGATAGTGACAAAGATCTAAGCACAACATTTTGTACTTGCGTTTGAGTGACTGGTTCTCTGTTATCAAGGCAATTGGACATTATCGAAATACGTTCCTGAAGATCATCTAAAACTACCTAAATAGTACGTGATATATGCCTTTTTTCAAATTCCGTTCGATGTTACCAATGTTGGGGAACACTGCATATTTATATTTATCGTGACATACCTCGCAATATGCTGCTGAATCCATAACCAGATTTAACGCATCTTGCAGCTTCATCACTTCTAATTGCCACTGACCGGTCAACAGTTTCACATTTGCTCGCATTTCTTTGCTTTCCGGATGCAGGTAGAATGTTGTAATCGAGGAAATCAGTTCTGTCTCCAATGATTCGAAACTCGCTAAACAATTTCGAATCTGATTGATTCCTAAAAAGGGACAAAATGTAGAAAAACGAGACATCCGACCCGCGTCTTGACTTACAGAAATTAACTTACGATTTCTATCGTTGCAAGACGCAATAGCGAAGAGTCCTATTTGCATCGACTTGTCTATAACCTGATCAAAATCTTCAACCGCGTCAGCCAAGTCGCTTTTGTATCGTTTTTTAGCAGTCAACGAATTGCCACAGATTGTAACAAGCTTCTTTAAAGCATTAAGAGGATCGCTAAGAACCTCCATTACAAGATTCAGTACCGATATGTTAATCTTGCGTTCCAATCGGTAAAGTGCATCGTTTAAACTATTCATAAACAAATTGTTCAATGCAGAGTCAGACGATTCGGACGTTAGCTGAAACTTTAAATTCTCATATTCCAATATGATGGAATGGCAGGTTCCAGTGATTGCTTTGAAGTTGCAAGGCTTGCACACTTGTGCGATTGCCATCGCGTGCGAGAACACATCTTCGATTTGGAGCCATAGCTCTCTGCATTCCTCTATTTGTTCCTCTTGAGATTTGTTCGGCATTTCTGCCAAAATATCCAAAGCCAAGTCCATTCTAAATACAAATAAGATAAAACAGAAAGTATATAAAAATAGAATTCACCAAAAAGGAATTTCTTACTTGTAAATGAAATGATTTTCTCTTTCCACTATCTCATGTTCTTGCAATGAATCCGGTGTATCTATTACCTCTATTACCATCTTCAAGCAAAAGCAGACTCTTTCACAGACATACTTCTTACAATTCTATAGAAATAAAGAGAGGAATGTATTATTACAATGTAGTTTGACATACTGTTTGAAATCTAGGTATCATAAACCAATCTATTACATAGATTACTGCATTTAGTTGATGCTGTTCTTGCACCAATTGAACTAACAATTTAAATGCTATGCATAATTGACAAGAATACAATAGAATCTTCTCAGAGAGCACACAAGACACCAAACTTCTCCTGTATATTTGTAATGGCCCAAGTAATTCCAAAATGGATGTTCCTAACTCCTAAACATTGTTAAAGTTTTTTAATACTTCTTAAAGAAGAATAAAATGATCTGTGTAAGTATGTTTTGTACCTTGATATTTTGAAAATGTTCTATTTCATTCGCTTGACCCATTTCATTAACATAATCCAAACAATCGGATAATCTTTGTCTCAATGGCAAACATTCTAGTTTTTCCAGACTTTCGAGTGCTAGTTTAAATTTGTCGAGTACAGTGGTCAGAAGTTGTTCTGTGATTTGTTTATTTGTATTTTCACCCTACAAGATACTGATGAATGTGAATGTACATATTGCATTGTTTTTAATTAGACGTACCGCTTCATTCTTATATTCAAGGGAGCAAAATTCTTCTACTATACTGACAATCCTTGATTCCATTTCTTCGTAATCAGTAATATCCTCTTTTGATAAAGCATCAAAGTTTTCTCCTAATACTTCTAATCGTTCAAACAGAGTGGATTCTGTTCGTGATGTATCATTCGTACATAAAGAGTTACATCTTATTAGATTTCTCAATTTATTTACCTAATAACAGGAAACGGAACAGATCTATTATTCTCTCTTTCTTATTATTCGTAGAAATTATTGCATTCGTATATGAAATTGTTCAAAAGTTATTACTTGTTCTTCCACGCATATTAATGTTTCTTTTATTTCTTTCGTTTTTATAGACATTTTTGCCGTTCCTTCTTTCGTATAATCAAGCAATTTGATTGAGTTCGCGGCGACTTGTGGTTGTTTATAAATAAAGTGAATACAGTAAACGATCGACTTTTAACTCTCCCTAACGATAGAAAACGGCATTTGTTTAGTTTTTGAAAGCGTTAGGGTTCTTACCGTGTTTACAGTTGCAGCCCTGTATGGTAACTGATGTCTTGTACAATCCTGTTACTATGGTGGAATTTCCTGTTAGGAAAGAGGGGATAGAGGAAAAAAGGACAATGAATAAAGAGTACAGTATTTCATGTCGGGTCCCTGACGCATGCTCCGGGGGTTCTATGACCCCAGTTTCTCACACACACAGGATCTCTGACGATTCTTCGGGGGCTCTATGACCCCACTTTCTCACACACAAGGGGTCTCAATTGCATATGTACATACATATTTCCACAGAGACGAGGTATAGGAGCAGGCATTTCATCCAATGTATTTTTGCGGCCCACTTTTCTGGGGTACGTCACCCTATTTATACATAAATATAAACTCTTCTTACGGAAAAGATCTTCCAAAAAGAAACCTTATTCGATCTGTCATCTCTAAACGACAAGGGAAATAATCACAGCAACACACCGAGAATTTATAAAGCGCAATGAAATTCTGTATTATACAACACGTGTGATAAAATAATACCAAGAGTTATACAAGTAAAAATAATAATAATAGTAATAATAATAAAATAATTATAACAAATATTTAAGCGAATTTTTTAATAGGGCATTGGCAAATAGGGTCTAGAGGTAAAAAATAAAAATACTTAAAATGACAGGAGAGCAAGGAGCCAGGACGAGTGGAGGGGGGACTGTGTCCTTTCAGTCGCGAGACTTTTTATCTCGTCGCATGCTGATCGACGCGGTTCTTTCAAATCGGGCCGATTTTACTTAAACGATTCTCGAATTTAGTCGAACGATCAATTCGGAACGGGGGATGGGAGGAGACGGGGGTGTGCTCGGGGCGGTCTTTGGAGAACTAGAAATGGGATTTTCCATGGGTTTTGGCCCCGAGCAGTACCATTCGCTTCGTCGTGGAATTTACATGGCCGCGTGTGATCGGCGTGTGTATGTGTGTGTGTCTCTTTCTCTAATCGCGTGGACGGCGGGCACTAATCGACGGATCAGAGATCGCCGTTCGAGACCGCGATTGGCGATGGCCCGGTGGTGTTGTTGTTCCCATTTGTCGACCATTTGTTCTTGTGCGGATCCACGCCGAAACCCTCGTCGTAGTTCCCCCGTGTGATGAACAGTTGCTTGAAGTGCGGGATGCAGTACAGTTTACCGTTGTTTAAGGTGAACGTGTCCATCCTACTCGGGAAAAAAAAAGAATCATGGGTGGATTAGAGGTCATACGGCACACTGTGGTGCAAAATCACGAAAGCGTGGCAAAAATTCGTTTCTTATGGAAAAAATTTATGCGGCAATATGGAAATGTATCATAGATTATATAATTCATAAAAGAAAATCGACATAAAAAATAACTACGGTATTTACTAAAGAATAGAACAATTTTTTTCTATTTTTCTTATTGTTTTTGAATAATAGAAAACAGATAAAAATTTGGACGCTAGTTCTGATATTTTTTTTGTAATTAAAAGTCTTCCGAGTCCCACCAAATGTTTTTTCTATTAAAGTATGATTATGCTACATGAATGTCCGAAATAACTTATAAAACAATCAAACTGATACTAAAATAATGTAATGTATTGAAGAACTAATTTTCTTAAATCGTTCATCCCTTCCTTATTAATGTTTTCCACGTATACACTTTATTCTATATAATAAATCACAAAATATCACAATTTCTACTACAAAAACATTTTTGGAAGTTTTTCCACGTTTCGGGGATTTTGCACCACTGTGCGGCGCATTGAAAACGGTGGTGAATGACCCCCGTTTTTATCAACACGTTACCTCAACACGCAGTTGCACTGCAGACACCGGAAACACTGTTTGTGAAAGATTTTGTTATTCGTCTCCACCTTCTCGAGGGGGTACACTTTCTTTTCGCAGCTCTCGCAGACGTCCGTGCAGCTCGCCTGAATCTCCTGTATTCGTTTACGGGATTCAGAGAAAAATAAAAAATAAAAATAAACGATGAACCAAAAAAAAAAAAAAAGAACAAAAACGTACACGGGTGTGTGTGAATCGCGAGAGGATGAATGAAAGGGGGAGCGATGACTGCTGAATATATATATGACACGTTGTTAAAAGGATTGTTGGATCTCTGCAGGATAATACATTTTCTTTGGGTTTAGGATCACGATTTTTCAGGAGTTTTTACTTGAACAGCACCACTACTCTGCTTCCTTCGAACGTCTGACTATTCCAGTCCGAACACTTAACTCACGCATTCGCCATTGATTTCTCTCTGTGTATTATTTTTCTATTTTTTTTTTCTTTTTTTCGTCAGGATGTGCCCTTTTATTTATCGTTTGCAATACGATCGTAAGAAATCGTTACACGTGCAAGGTAAAAGGTAAAGAACAAGAGTATAAGTCGCTAAAAATTATACAATCCCAAGACGCAAACGAAGGTGTCTACGTTAAAATGTAAAATCATTCTCGGCAGAGCAGGCCGCGAAACCAAGCGATCGGGTCTTATTAAAACTAAATCTCCCCTCGCCGATATAAATATTCTCCTCCTCCTTTTCCCGGCAATCAACAACAAACAATAGCGTTCGCATTCGTTAAATAACAACGTTCCATTGCAAAAAATTATTGCACAGAAAAATTCCATCGATCAAGGACAAGCTCTCTCTCTCTCTCGCTCTCTTTCTCTCTCTCTCATAAGTTAGAATTAAGTTCCGTCGAGTCGAGTAGAGAATATATATAATATATAATCTATACCTTCCGATCTCTCTATATAATACTTAGGTTCTGTTCGTTCGTTTCGTTTTTGATTAAAAAAATCACTAATGCCTCTAAATCTTGCACCTCCCCGGGTCGATCGGTCGATTCAGAAAAGAGAAAGTGTACTTCCGTGTACCCTGAAACGCTACCTCGAATCGTCTTCAATTTGGACATTCGATACAATTGTCTTATGGATAGTCTTACGATTACTATACGTTACTCTATCCGTTTTATCGGGAATTTCAATTTCACCCTTCGAACTTCGACAGCTCGATGGAGAGAAAAAAAAAGACCACCGAACGGCCAAAGAACCAACGAGCCGTCAAGAATCGTTTCGAAACACCACCACGATCGAAATAAATTTCAGGGAGGGAATTTTCCTTTCTCCCGTTCTGGAAATCTTCTGATTGGTTCTATAAATGGTTCGATGGGGGTTCGATATACAACGTTGTTTTTCTATACCAATGATAAATATATAATTGTATTTGTATGTAATACGAATATGTTTAGTTGCGTACTGTGCGTCCCGCGTTTCCAATGAGTCAAAGGAATCGATACTCGCGCCCCCTACACCGCCGGGGTCGACGCCATCACGGTGGACACTTAAAGGACTAAGCTCCCTCGTATCGTCCATCCACTGAACATTATATAAAAATTATAAAAAGCCTATGATTCGACGCGTCTCATTCGCGCAGGATCTCGAGTGTCCCGATTTATTTCCTTTTTTAAAGGAAGGAACGAAGATATTTCCGAACTGTTTTCAATTCACTGGCTGGATTATACGACAGGGCAGCTCGAAAACACTGATTCTTCGGTTCTCCGTCGATCCCTTCGTTGCCTCCCCCCCTCCCGGAAACTCTTGACTCTTAGAGCTTTTTCACTGGTTGACGTGTAACGTCTGCACGAATTACTTTCACCGTTCCATCGTTACTTTTTCTCCGGCAAATATTAAATAGTTTCTTTGGTAGAAAAAGGTATCGAGCGTTTCCGGGTGAAAAAAAGGACTGTTACGATGTTTTTTCGCGCAACGAGGGGTCGAAAACGAGGTCTTCGTGGAGACTCTCGCAGTCGTATCTCCATTTCTCGATTCGTTTTTTCGCTCCCATTTTGCTCCCTCTTGTTACCCCGACTTTTTTATACCAGCAGACGTCCATCCTCAGTGTTCTAATGTCCTACCAAGCGGTAAAAAGACTCGAAACTCTGTAAAGCGTTCGAAAAAGCTCGTAGATCCTAAGCAGGGCTTGAAAACTGTTATGATATCGATTTAAGTTCTTGAAACGGTTATGAAGAACCTTTATATCAGTTCATATCAGTTCTATAACCGTTATTTTTTAGGCTTTATATACGCTCCAGAACGGTTATAGAACCTATTCTCGTAACGATTGTACAGGATTCTACGGTGAACGAAACCACAACATATTACAGCTATAGGTTACTATGTGTAAGCAAAATTTTTTAAACATTATTACGAATATGTAAGTAAATATAATATGCACACATTTGTACATGTACAATTAGTTTGTTATATGAAAAGTGTTTGTTAACACTGGAACTACCAGTGTTAAATGTATACTGACTTAAATTGTATAATAATTAGTATGTTTAGTACATAGTACAGTATAGGGTAATATAGTGTTAAAATATATAATAAATTAAAGATCGACCTGAACACTCACGAAAGCATCTAAATACTTTCAACAATTAATGTAAAATAACGAATCTGAATTACGTCATATTAACTTAATAAAATTTTACTATACTGACTTCGCAAAAAATATGCTTAAATTTCTGTTGTAATGATAATCGGTTCTATGCCCGTTTGGAACTTATACAGAAGCTAAAGAATCACTGCCACTAATAATTAATAATATAATGCAATAATAATTGCTTATAGAACTGATATGGGAGCTGATATAAGAACCATAACCGAAACTCAGTCTGAACCAGTCTATCTTCACCCAAGTGAAACCAGTCAGACATTTAGGTTTTGTCATAACAATTATTCAGAATAAAGGCTCTTCACGACTGTGTGAATCGGAACCTTTATTATAACAATTCGAAACGTTTCAAGCCTCGATCCTAAGTAACTCTGGCACGAACCCTGGAGTACAGGGGGTCTACGATGAAATTCTCCGGAGAAAGCATCTCTCTCCTCGTAATTCGCTTGGCACCCCAACGTAAAACGATATCGTTGCTCGAGGAACGGTATTCATGGCGACGCGAACGGACGTCAGGTGAGAACATTTGCTTATTGATCGAACGACTTTGGCACCGTTTCTCTAGACAATTTAATTCGCCTTCTCGGTTTACATTGGTTCGAGAGATTATTCTGTTCTAAAGGAATTGATAAATTCTTGTACGGCGAAATCCCCGAATTTGGCACTCGAAACGAAGACAAAAAGCCGTTCCCGTCGCCAAGAGCTTCCGTCCCTCTGACCCTTCTCACGTGAATTCTTCTCCTATACATGCCCTCCCCCCTAACCCCCCGAAGAAACACATTATAAATATTTTTCTTGGGCGCGAAAGACTGCGTACTTTCGAAAAATCCGCACACCACATTCGCAGCCGACTTTCTTTCGTGACAACGCGGACACGTCGAGCTAGTCTCCTCTGTTTCGTGATCGCTGTGAAATTTAGGCACCGTCGAGCTCGAGCACAGCGAAAGGTTGGTTCAATTCCATCGTGTCGGCTAGGAGAACTAAATACAGAGTGCAGTACAGGGTTTAGAGAGAGACGCTCGACGTGTCCTGGGTCGTTGGCCCGTGATACACGATATAATACACAATCCTCTACGATCTAGATTCACCAACAGAACAACGCATGTCAGAAAAAGACTTCTAGAAAAGAAAAAAAGAAGAAAATGAAATTGAAAGAAACTGTAAAAACCGCACAGTGATCCGGACAACGAGGCGTCGAGTGTCTGTATGTGTGTGTCTCTGTGTTTGTTGGCGCGTTTCCTCTCTCGAAGCGCTTCGATTCCAACGGAATACATATTTCGTATCCTCTTTCTCTCTCATTCGTCGTGTGCGTGTGCGTCGTCGTAGTCTTCGTCGTTGTCGTCGTAGTTCCTCTCCGACTGCTCGATCTTTCCGCTCTCAGGGGGCCTTCTTTATACGTCCGCCATATTGTGTTGGCCCACGGATCCCCTCTCTCGACATCGCTGTGTCCTCCTTTTACTGTTCACGATCAACAAGAGAATATCATCATGGATCGTGCGGTCCTCATCGCGCGGCTCCGTGGGAAAGCTGGCCAGAGAACAACTGCAGGCTCAACGCGCAACTCTCAAGACCAAAAAATGCGAGATAGGCCAATCGTCACACACGGGGAACACGCAAAATTAATCGAGTCATGCTGTTGTAAATTCGAGCGGGATTTTTATGCGATTATTGTTCACGTAAAGGAGGAAAGTACAGTAAAGCCTCGATAAATGTTCGAAGGTTCCTTGGCATTGAATATTAAATATTTCATACATTAATGGCTATATGCGACTGAAACAAATATCATTGGCTTCGGAATTCCAAGCTTTATTACTGTGTTGAACCTTATTAAAAAGTCAGCGGTATATTTAGGGACCTTCCCTTGTCAGTGTCGAGGAACCTTCGAACACTCATCCAGGATTTATTATAACTCCCCCACCCTCCCTTTTCGCTACTCGGCCGTTTTTCCCTTATCGCAGTTGCGAGGTCCACTTAGGGATCCTATAATAAGGGATCGGATAATGAGGCCGAAAATTCCCATTGGTTGGCCGCCAAAAACTACTAAAACATTCAGTAGTAGACATTTCATACAATGTATTTTTGCGGCCCACTTTTCTGAGGTTACGTTACCCCATTTCCATTTTAGTGTCACTACCCACAGTAGATCTACCGTTCTCATAACGTAAAGGTCACTAAAACCACAAGTCACTAATCCCCCATAAGATGAAAGGTTTATTCTTATACCTCGTCGGTGATAAAACTTTCCAATTGCGGATAACCGTATTTAAAGTGACTAATCCAGCCAAGTGAACAAAGTTCAGTTTTAATGATCCGCCCTGCAAGAATGAGTTTCCGCCTACCCTCCGAATGGCGGTAATGGCGGCGGTTTGTCCGATCCCTTATTATAGGATCCCTGGGTCCAGTATTTCTCTCTAGTGTCCTACTTCGTGGAACACATAGATGGTAACAGAGGCTACCAGACAAATCGAAACTAAAACTCGCGGGCTGGAGGGTGGTCGTGCCCGCCTCGAACATTCCCGCGGAAATCATAAATATTTGCGTGCAGAACGGGGTCCATACAACACAACGATGGAACAGAGGCGAGTTACACGAAAAACAGAAACAAGTCAAACGAATAGTCGAAACGGTCGTAACTAAATACACAGGTGCAAAACTCGAACGCAAAAAAAAAATGAAAACGACCTTTTGTTATCGCCTGGCTGTGACACTCAGAGACGATGAATCGTGCTTTTTAGAGATATACACACGCGTACACGCACACATAATATGCTTGGCTACGTAACCAGGCGTAAGAGAGTAAAAAGAAAAACAACAACGAACTCGTGTTTAATTTACAAGCGGAGAGAGGATGTAACAACGATTTTACGACACACACCATGCGGAAGAACGTTTCACACCAAAAAGAAAATGTATGAATGAAATTTTCGTGACAGAACAATGATTTGTGTGCAATTTTTGTCAATGAAAAAAAAAAAACAGAACTAGGTCCGAGATCCTAGATCTCGGTTAGCGAACGAGCATGATGGATGATGGGTAAACTAAACGAAGCTTACGACACCGTACTCACCACAAATCGATTGACCTTGACCTTTTGGGTCCGCGGAGATTCGGTCTGTTGCGAGCCGAGGGACTCGAAACGGGCCCTGAGACTGCTTGCGGACTCTATGCTCGATTGTTCTCCAGTGCCTTGAGCCATTTCCATTTCGGCGATGTGCTGGTTGCTCGACGTTACCGACTTCCCGTCCGTCTCCTCCCAGTGCTCGAATTTCGCGCACAGGGTCTTCGCGCGCGCTGCGTTCTGCGCTTGCTTCAGGAACTCGTCCTCCACCTGGAATATATTACCGTTAATATCTGAACAGTTGAGCCGTCTTTGGAACTCTCGGACATGGTAACAGGTGTTATCGACAGGTGTTACCGATTTCTCCTCTTTCTAACCAGAACGGAATTCGTTATTGTAAAAGCTCGTGCATGGTAGCGATTAAAAGAAAGTGTATATTCTCGTATTGTCAGTGACTCGAATAGTTTATAGATTGTGACGACGAACGCGGTAATTAACGGTAAGACGAAATTTCAATTAAATCCACCGGGCTCGGAGTTAACTGTAAAATGTATATGGGCTATTTCACGCCAACTCGTTCACTTTCGGGCAGCGTATCTTCCGATTTTAATGAAACTGTAATATGTTTTAGTTTATGTGAAATAACGATGTGGTTATGTCATCATTTAGCTGGCTTTGAAGTTATTAATAAGTTATAATATGAATGAACTGGCGTGAAATGGCCCATACAGTATATCCTCGATGAGTGTTCGAAAGATCCTCGGCACTGCAAATACAGAATTCCTTTAATTCCTGGGAAATTATTGACGATAAAGTAATTCTGGTGACTGTAGACGAAAAAAATTGTAAGGGGTTAATGAGGTTTAACATAGTGACACAGCTTGGAATCCCGAAGCCAATGATATTTCTTTCGCATATAGCCATTAATTTCTGAAATGTTTAATGTTCAGTGTCGTGGTGCCGCCGAACACTCATCGAGGATTTACTGTATCCGTGTTTCACATTGTTTCCTTTTCGTTGTTGTCTGAATATCATTAAAACAAACGATCGTCGTCACGGTGATGCAAAAGAAGCTCATCGAGGATCGCGCGAGCGTTAATCAACACGACAATTGAACGACCTAACCTAAACCCAAAGCACTTCCCAACCTCCATCTCATACATATTCAACTCGCGGTAATATCTACGGACGCAATCTCAGCCGCAGGGGGCTCCCTATGTTAATAAACTCCCGTCATCTATTTTTCGCGACGAGAACAATGAAGCCTCGATCGAACGTAAACGAACCTTATCCGAAGCTCGCACGTAGTTCGGATCCCTTTCCTCCCCGCTGTCCTCGCCTTCCGACTCCTCGCCCTCTTCCTCCTCGACCTCCTCGGAATCCGAGGCGGTCGGTTTCGCGTATTTATCTTCGGGAGGAGGTGTGAATCGTTTCAACGGCTTAGGACCATTCGGGACCTCCTTTTTGGTTGCGTTCTCTTCCATTTGCCTGAAGATCGACAACATTTTTCTGGCGGTGTCCGTGCGCACCACTTCGTCCACCCTATCCTCGGCTCTGACCACGTCTGGGTCACGGTAGATTTCACGCTCGGGGGAGTCCATCTGCTGAAACGAACCGGGAGGATCAGTATCGAGCAATATATTAGAGAATAAACAACATATACAACCCAGATAGCACATGACGCCTTGAAAACGGTTTAAAGACGTCACAAGGGAGGGCATGGAAGTGTCCCCCTCCGATTTTGATGAAACCTCGTATGTCTGTTAAGCAGTCAACAATAAGGAATACGTATTTTTTTGTATCGGCTGAGACGCGACTTCAAGGGGTGAAACCACTCTTCGAAAACCAGAGGAGATACATGAAAACTTCTAATGGACGAGGTTTGCGATTTTTATGTAGAATAATATGATGCTAACAAATTGTTTAAAATATAATTCGTTTATAACAAAAAAATTTCGGATCGGAACTTCGAGGGGTGGTTTCACCCCTTAAAGTCGCGTCTCAGCTGATAAAAAAAATACATATCCCTTATTTTTGACTGCTTAACAACACTGCAATACTTGTTTAAACAAAAATTTTTTTCGTTGATATGTGACTTTTGTAACAAGAATGCGGGGTTTCACTGATGTAAAATAGATCTCCACGTTTGTAGTTGAGAAATTCAAGTATTCCCTCCAAAAAGAAATAAAAATCAGGGTCTATGCATTAAAAGGTTAATAGGGGCAGAGTTTCAGCGGGTTTGTTAAGCGTGGAAAACATCAGGCAACGCAAGGAAATCAAGGATAAAAGGTGTTCCACGAATCACCGGCCGTCTGACTCAGCCCAGGGCTGTTTAGCGTCTACCTGAGCCAGGTAAACCGAGGACCGTCCGATGACAACGCAGAACCGCTTCTCCAACTGACGCGACGCGCGCACGAACCAACGAACGAAATCGTTTACGATATTACCTGGACGAGCTGGCGTCGCAACGGAAACATTACCGTCGTCGTTCTGTCCAGCATCGTTGCCGTACAGACTGGATGTGAATCAAGGTTTCACTTTGGTTCAAAAATGTATAGGTTCGCGTAGCCGTGGGAGAAAGCCAATTAGTTCGAGCTGCTTGTATAAATGTTTATTAATGAAGGTCTGTGCAAGATGTATATTGTTTGGAGTAAGATGGTATCCAGCGTTGCACGATTTAATCGTAATTTAAAGAGGAGATGATGACCAAGATTTAAAAAATTATTTTTCCCTATATCAATACAACCCAAATAACACATGACGCCTTGAAGACGCCTTAGATCTAAAATAGCCGTAAAATGGGCATCTTCAAGGCGTCGTGCGCTATCTGGGATGCTAATTACGCGTCAATTTGTAAATTCGTTAACATATCATGTAATAGTATGTGAGGAAAGCTCACAGGCACAGTTTATCCTCACTAAGTGAATACTAAAAAAAAAGATTTGACAAATTATCGATCGATGATGAAAACGAGTTACTTTTTATTGACAAAAATGAGGCACCATTTAAGAAATCGAGACACCTTTTGTATGGATCCTTCGCTCTCCTGGGTAGGAGTAACGGGGCGCACGCACCGAAAGGAAAAAGAAAGTTTTTTTTTTCTTCTCTCGTGCAATTCGCCGAAAGGAAAGCGTATGCATATGCATTTTTCGCCTCGAGTACGTATCGACAATGTTGTATACCGTTACACCGTAAATTCAAGATGCGAGAAAGCTGGTAATTTGCTGCTATGTTGATTACAGTTTTCCGATATTTCGAGCACCGGTAATTTGACTGTAGGTATTTCCGACAGATGGACGCTAGTTCGACACTGACCTCCTAGTTCCTCCACTGTTTTTTAACATTTACGTCACTGGTCGAAACGGAAATTTGATATCAGAAATCGGCAAATTTATTATCTAATTCTGCGTCCCTCTACTCACAGCACATCTTTCATAATTTTAAGAGTTCAATCGATAAATCTATCAGTACCCTCACCAAAAAGAGGCCCGTGTCGCGAAAGTTCACTAAAAGAAGACCAGCCGCGACACGATGAAGATCTCGTTTAAATAATTCTATCGTAAAGCACAATTTACTCACTCTTTCTTGTCTTCTCAGTATCCCTCGGTCACGAGACGGAGCACCATAAAAATTCACTCGGGTACGGTGAAAAAAAGAGAGAAAAAAATAAAACAGAAAAGAAAAGGAAACCGAACGGAGTCGAAATATACGCGTGCACGTCGTTGGCTTTTGTCTGTCTGGGGCCCGGCGAGGTCCGAACTGGCTGGCAGCGTGTTGCTATGCCGTTCACACGAGGAGGACGCACAGCTCTTACTGTTCCCCCTTTCGTGAGTTACTGGGAGGGCCCCAACACGACGATGGTGGTGCGGTGGCTCTGTCCCGCGCACTCGGTCTGCTCTCTTCACGAATGGAAGGATGTAGGAATACTAACGGTAAAAGTATGGCTGCTGACCACTCGAGGGGTTCAAGGACAGCGGTGGAATCAAGTGGCTGGCGACCACTTTGCGTCTGGGGACAAGAAGAGGGCTTGCGCGATCTTCCAGACTGCGGCCCTTCCCTCCGGCCCCCCTTCGTTTTCCCTAATTACCATTGGAACGTGAAATCGACTATACTTTTTCCACGGAAACGTTTAGCAACTTGTCGATACATATTTGTTAAAAATTATCGCTCCGCGATACGAGTGATTAGTAAATGACTCACGAAGCAGGATGAGTCATTATGGAGGATTGCACGAAATGGCTAAAGTACAGGGCGAGGCATTAAAGACAGGCTACTATTTATTTTACTTATTTTGGCTGTTACTGGTGATTGAAGAACATGTGCTGGACCATATTTGTATGGTATTGAGGAGCACATAGTTTGATGGGAATAGTTTTTTGTTTCATGCGACCTCTACGCCAATCAAGTAACTATTTACAGCGAATTATGTGCTCCTCGATACTATACAAATTTGGTCTGACATATTTTCTTTTGTCACCAGTAACCGTTTTAGGTGCCTCATCCTGTATATTCGACAGTATCGAATATTTTCATCGAATCGGTATCGTTCGTGGGTGAGGTTTCGCTAGGCAATCCGTGTATTTGATCTGCACTCGAAAATCCATGCGATTTAGTAGTCGAGTATCTATCAAGTAGGGAGAATAAGTCCTGTAGCTTTTATTAGCTATCAATCCATGCAATTTTAAGCTCCTAAATGTCTAAACTGTCAGAATTATTCCACACTGCAGTCTCTGTTACTAATTAGATCGTAATCATTGAAGAAATCACTCTGCACACGATAACTCAATCGAACCTTGACTTGACCGTCTCGCGGAGGGGTAATACGGAACTGCTTCCGTTGTTTCTCCGGTTCCTTGTAAGTCTCGAAAAATTTGAATTTGTTCGATATGTCCGAGGTCTCGACCTGAACCTCCTCGGCGGTGTCCGAGCTGCGCACCACGTCGTCCGATACTTGCCGTCCCATGAATGCCTTTTTCGTGCAAGTTTCAAACGATTAACCACCCCGATTTATCGAAACCTTTAAAATTCTCTTTTACTAATTCTTTACTGTGTATCACGTTGCTGTAACTTTTATTTTTACTTAATTTTTACGTATGCATAAATGGGTTTATACCCGTATAATAACTAAAGAAATAAATAAATAAAAACCACCCCCGTCAGACAACGTACAATCGATAGGTGGAAGGTAAATTCAATTTAAAGAGGATCTATGATCCATTGGGTAGAGAGTAAAAAAAAGTACGAAACTTACGTCTCGTGCACGTCGAGGTCCCTCTGCAGGTGTCTTCGGGTTCACTGGGGTCACAGGTCGTCCAGTCTTCGCCGCCGTGGCGTCCAGTTCCAGGAACAGCGATCTGGATTTCCATTCTCCGAGCGTATATCGAAATGATTAATGCTGTACGTCTGACGCGACCAGAAGACGCATAACCAAGTAAGATTCTATTTTTGGAAGCAATGTTTAGGTCCACTCGCCGCTTGGAATGTGTTCGTCCTATTCTGTACATTGTAGCAAATTCGCGAACTGGTGAATAATAGCGTTACAACGGTGATCCAAGCTGGCCAATTAGATCGTGAAACGTTTCTAAATATACGTTCTAGTGGAGACGCACCTGCTGCGATCACTTCCTCGTCGGCCTTCTCCGGTTTCGGTTTGTTGTCCGTCTCGTCGTCGGAGGCGGCGATCGGTTCACCCCTTTCGAATCGTTCTTTGATGGAACGCGCGTGGGTGGAGGAGTTCTGAAGCTCCTCTGCAGGATTGATCTTCGTCACACGATCGCTACCAGCCACCGCTTGCTGATACATCTCCTTCATTTTACCCTGTTTGCCCTGCGACAAAGATCGATCCAACGGTCAATAAACCCTCTTTGATGTTCGATCCATCGATACGACACGGAACGAAAACTCCATTAACACTAATCAAAATTATGCGTGACAGTGGAATGTTGTCGAGCTCGAAAATTCCATTAGGTTTACCCTTATTGGGATTTACAAATTTGGACAGTTTTCTGGAACTGGTAAGTGCACACGAATTTGTTTTACAATATTTAGAAACTTGACGAAATAATAAAGCGTTACATATATTTATAAATGATTAGATCAACACAAATTAAAATGTTCTTTGGTTTATAGATTTGGGGTGGACTGCCGCCGCCATAATCCAATGAAAGGTTTGAACACAAAACATGGATACACACGTCTTAAAAGCGGCATTATAGCTAAGAAAAAAAACTGAAGTCCTCGACTGAAAAACAAATCGTTCACCGGGGGATATATCATCACCGTTTCACCGTAAGAAGAACCGCCTGCGCTACATTTTCCTCTCTCGAACTTTTTCCGCGTCTACGAGTCTAATGGGCACGATGTCATTACCCCGGACTACTTCGCGACTCGCCCGTACGACGCTCGAATTAAACTCGGAACGCATCGTGTGTCGTTTCATCGTCGTGGACACGGCGTAATATCCTTAACGACTTCCGTTTTCGTTCGATCGCCGCGCCGGTTCAACGAGCCCGACGAGGAACGCGATACTTTACCATGAAGAGTCGCGAACGTATCCCGGCGATCTCCTCCTTTCTTGCCTCCCGTTGGACCTTGCGTCTCCCTTGCTGGCTGGTCGTCTCCCAGCGATTCTTTATGTCGTCCATTTTCGTGAAACTGATCGGTCGCTCGCGGGTCGCGCGTTTCGCCTTCACAATTTCGGTGTCCGTCTCTGAAACGCACAGTTTTATTATATTTAACACATTATTATCTTCAAACGACTGATTCTAACTGAATTGTATACTAAACGGTTACATACCCGTATGTAAAAAAAATAAATAAATATTACCAATGTCATTCGAACTATCCATCATTTAGTATGATACACTTTATTACACAAAACCATTGAACCACAAAACACCTGACATCTGAGTGCCTGTTACAGTGCCTTAAACGGTCCCGAATACGTTAATTACAGTCCTTCATCGCTGTTGCTTATCTTGTCCCCTCATTCTACCAGGTAAAAGGATTAAAACTTCCCAACAGAATTAAAACGTCATTAAAATCGTTACACCAACACTCCCCTGCTCCTCTTTAAACCGCCCGGTCAAACTTTGTTTTTAATCAGCTCCGTTCCATCATCGAGTAAAATGGGACTAGACGATCGCGAGGAAAGAAAAAAAAGAGCTACTCGAGGAAATGCTCGAGTCGTTCGAACAAAAGGAAGACAAAAGGCGAGGGACAGAATGCTCGTGGAGCATCAACAACGCTGGATTCCGATTCGAATTAAATGTTTCTCGATGGTGCTCACCCTCCGTCTCCTCCGTCTCCTCCTCTTCCTCGCTCTCGCTCGACTCTTCGTAAGGGATTCCATTCAGGGACTCGTCCGCCACACCGATATCCATCCCTTTCGCCTGGAATCTGGACAAAAAAACACGCAACGTGGACGCAAACATATTCACCGAAAAAATTCTGATCAGCCACCTTTTGCAACGTTCTCGATTTAGATTAATTATTCTAAATGTAATTTAATCGAGGCTTTAATAATCGACGCAGTTTGGGTTAACGAAAATCCGCTGATCCGTTCGAATACCAGACGTGGACTGTCGCAATCCTCCCCTGCGTTCACTCGGCGGATATATTTTTCACACCGCAGTCTGTTCTATATCGCGGCGAAGCCTTTGCTTGCACATTTTCGAGTGACACGGCAACTTCTTCACCTGCGGCCGCGTCCTCTTCTGCGGCCCGTCTTTAATGCGTTGCGTTCGCCTCGGTGTCTACTACCGTGGAATGCAATTTACGATCCCAGCGTTATGATGACGTTACGTTCACCGGCCGGGATCGCGAGGGTTTCGGAGCAACGACTGGATGGAACGCGTCTCGAATTACATGGTCGAGCGATGGTCTATCCGTGGTCTTAAAAAGCGAAGAATTTTTGCTGCTGAATTAATCCTAAGAGGAACGCGTATTCGCGATAGAAAGAATATGTTTCTTGAGTGTACACTGCGTTCCGTTTGATCTTTTGCAGTAAACTTTAGCGATTAAAGGTTCCCATAGACGATACGATTTTTCGTATGATAGATTCCTAGCATTCCGTATTATCGACGAATCGTAAGACCATGATATAAATGTTGCAACTGTCGTTCAGATGGTCGAATCGACCTACAAATGACTTGAGTTCTTTTGTGAAGTTAGGGACATTCGTTTAGTAAATGATGTGTTAAAGAAAATTGGTGAAAAAGAAATGGCGAACTTGGACCGATCCAAAAGAAACGATTGAGATATTTCGACGGTTACCGAGAAAAGCGTCGCCGGCTGAAAGCCACAGAGTCCTCGTTGTGTCCAGCTCGTGGAAACGGATCTGTGTCACGGCTGAGAACCATCTTCTCAATCCACGACAGCAATGTATGTGTACATACAGGGTGTAACAAAAATGTTGGACGACCCGGAAATGGGAGACTCGTAAGGTGATTTGAAAAAAATTGTTCCTTAGCAAAAATGTTATCCGAGGCTTCGTTAACGAGATATTAACGAGAAACCCCGACCAATCAGAGTCGAGTCCTCGCGGCAACTGTTGGCTGCGTGCCGCGATTGGTAGCCAACGACTCGCGCTCTGATTCGTCGGGGTTTTTCATTAATATCTCGTTAACAAAGCCTCGGATAACATTTTTGCTAAGGAAAAACTTGTTTCAAATCACCTCACGAGTGATGGAACCACACATGAGCTGTCCTTGGAATACTTCCATTTCCAGGTCCACCAACATTTTTGTTACACCCTGTATAGCCAAAGAATGAGGCGAAGAGTGCTGCGCTGGTATCGGTGGTTTCGATCGGACCGAATAATCGTGAATCGAACGATTACTCACTTGGCTAGTTTACTGAGGATGCTGGGCGACCTCTTCACCGCTATCTGCGACGGTGACCTCTCGATCTCGTTCGTCTCGGTGCCGGTCTTTTCGAACACTTGGAACCGGGACTTCACGTTCAGGCTCGACAGCTCCTCGAGACCCAGGTCCGGTTTGTCAGAGGCTGCAATGCAGATTGGAGAACGTTTTTGTTGTGGAATAATGTCTCGAAGACGGTGCCAAAATCCTCGCGGAAAATTACGGTACACACTCGTCACACCGTCAGAAAGCTTTAATAGCCACTGCTGGCCAGGATATTTTTGTGAGTTTGTCACTTGGAACATTGATGGAGATAACGTAAGACATTCGTTTGGTAGAGGATTCTCACTGAGGGAGTTATTCGTTTAAATGTTATGAGGACAATATTAACACTTTGATGTCGGGTAACGTAATACAGACTCCTTCCGATTATCGTCTCGAACTTAGGTCCGCACCGGGACAATAATCGTATAGGGAGAAATGCTTCAGACCTTCGTAAATCCGTTTTTTGTCCGAAGCCACGCCCCCCCCCCAATGGTGGGGATGACGCCTGGACAGTAATCGTGTAGAATAAGCCAGACAATAATCGAGAGGAGTCTGTAGTACGTATTTCTAAAAACAAAATCTGAGAGTAGCTAACGTAGCAATACTCTTAAATAAGAACTAGAATAATAAAATAAAATAGGAAAAAATATCTTTTCCAATATGTAAAGTTTAACAAATAAAAGTTAAATAAAAATTCTAAATAATGTTAGAACACCTGAAGTTGTACATTTTGTTTTTAAACCTCCCGCCAGCAATGAGTTAACGTTCAGGAAACGCGAGCACGATATTAGAAGAGCTTGCGCGCACACTCTTGCAAAAACGGTTAGCGGTTAGAAGTCACACTCCACCCGCAATCATCTTTTATAATATTTCTCACACTTCAGCCACTAGGACTTTACCTCTGACCACATCGGGCGGCAGCTCTTTCGGCTCGTTCTCTCTAATGATCATCTCCGGCTTTCGAGGTCGCACTACGGAGTTCATAAGACATCTCTTTGTCGCATTAACGATCTCGCTGCTGCATTCGCGTGTAATTACACTAGAGGCGGGGGAGGAGCCGGTGTGTGGAACGCTGATGGAAAGGGGAGGGGGAAGGGGGCAGTCGGTAATTTCAGGCGGGCACAACAAAAGGGGACTGTGCGACCACGATGGGGCCCGACGTTGAATACGCTAACGCTTATTTCGCCCGTTCATCCGAACGAGGACAATTGGATTTCCTCTGTCTGGTGAACAGGTCCTCGGTTCTTTCCATTAACCCCTTTAGTACCTTACACCCGATATATATCAGTTTTGTGGGTTTTCCGAAAAATACCTTGAACCGATATTATCGACTTTCATTTCTTTCTTTCGTTTCTTCTCTATTCGTTTTCTTTCTTTCAGACGTAAAATTACATACATTTTGCAATGAATTTATCTTTCCTTGAATGACCCCAGAACGATTTCACGCTTTCGGGCGAATCGTTTGTTCCGTGGAGAAGAGGATTGAGACGCGAGCAGGCCCGATAAAAGAGTAAAATAAGGATCGAGAACGACGCGAGTTTACGTTCACGCGGCTGATTCAAAGAGGATCCCGCGCGAAGGAGGAAGGAACAACGAGACCAAGGGAGTTTTAGTGAAGTCACGGATTCGCGTGGCGAATCGCTGGTAGTCCAGTAAGGGCGGCGGATATCAAAGGAAGGCGGAAAGATTCGAAAGATCTGGGACCGGAGGCTATTTTAAGGCGAGTTCCGCCTACATATGTGCCTCGCTAGAGAGCGTGGTGGCATACACACAGACATACACAGTTGGCCTTAGTAGAGTGTGATCGACTTACCAGGCTGCTCGGACTCCTCAACCGGTTTCGGTTGGAAGAGCTCCTTGAAGTGTGCCTTACAGTAAAGCGTGCTCTCGTGGCTCTCGTAATTGTCCACGTTGAGCTGCTTGCTACACTGGACACACCGGAAGCAATTCTTGTGCCAAACCAGGCCCTCGGCCTTTGTCTGTTCCATTTGGAAGACGACCTTGCCGCAGCTGCGACAGTTCGGATTCGTCTCGCCATTTTGACCCACCTGTCGTCAGAAATTCATTACACTTACACGTGAGTCTCGATACACACTTGTTTCGCATAGCACATGACGCCTAATGACACGTCTTACAAGGGAAGACACGGAAGTGTTCACCTCCGATTTTGATCGAAAACTTCGAGGGGTGGTTTCACCCCTTAAAGTCGCGTCTCAGCCGATAAAAAAAAATACGTATCCCTTATTTTTGACTGCTTAACAAACATACGAAGTTTCATCAAAATCGGAGGGGGGCACTTCTGTGCCTACCCTTGTTAGACCTAAAGTAGCCGTAAAATGGGCGTTTTCGAGGCATCGTGTGCTATCTGGGGTAGGGTCTATCGAGCAAATTTGTCGGTCTATCGGACAAACTTGTACACTAACGGCCAAAAGTATGCGAGCAGGTCTGATAAATAAAGAAACGGGAGACAACTATTCTACAAAAGGTTAACGAAGGTAATGTGTTCAAAACTGATGGGAAGTGATTTGTATATCTACTGATTCCGTAACATTTATTTTATCGTAACAGAATAATGAGTTATTGTTCCATCAATCATGAACTCTGGTCCAATACTTTTGGTCGGTAGTGTACCGGATCTTAGAATACATAGATAGAAGTTAACAATCCTCTACGAAAGTACAACTCCAGCCGCGTCGAAGATGATCTCTTTTTAGAAAAATTAACCGATCCTTTCGTGTGCTACGTTGTCGAGAAACGGAATTGGAACGATCAATTCCGCGCGAGGAACTCGGAACAGAGAGCCTGTTTACACGCTCTCTTTCTCTCTCGGCAGCTGAAGGGTTAAGTACTGTCGATCTTAAAAGTATCTCTCGAGGCGAGGCGCTTACGGCGTTCAGCTGTTGTTGCACTTTGCCCGCGTCGATCGAACGCACATGCAGCACCGTCTTCTTACTGAGAGCGTCGAATTTATTGAAGCTCGACTTCTGTAAACACAAACAGCGCAGGCGTCAAACGAAATGATGGCCGGGCGAGCCAGCTACGGGCGTGATCATTGTCGAGGGAGAGAACACAGTAGGATTATACATATACAGGGTTGTCCCATCTAACCCTGCCAGCCTTAATTATTCTCTTATTTATCACGGTATAAAAAGATGGTTCGGGAGAAAGTTAGTGTATTTTAGGGGGGAAATTGGGCTATGAGATTGAAGGTCATCTCAAGGTCATATCTTCTGAGATTTCTCTAATGGTAACTTTCTTCCGAAGCATTTTTTTTGTACTGTGACAAATAAGAGAATAATTAAGGGTGGCAGAGTTAGGTGGTACACCCTGTATATATGTATACGTGATGTTTCGTCTAGCCTCGAAGCTTGTTCAGCGTGAGCGTAAAAGCGTGTGTTCTATTTGCGTTGAAAATTTTGAACAAAAAAATTAAATTTTAATAATTTCGTTCACGAATTTTACGGTGTCTTCGATGCTCAAAGAGTGCCCACGGTGAACACAGAAATCAGAAGGACACCTCGTGCTATAATCGGGGGTGCAATTAACAGAGGTTCTCAAACAGGATATACGGGTAAGGAATAGTTTAATACTGTCCAATGGGTTCGTAGAATTACTACTGTTGAGGCTTTCGGGGTCAGGTGACCAATTGAAATTCTTGAGTGGCGATAATTGAATCGAAATTCGAGCAGGGTGCACTCTAATAGCGAACCACCACACGACAAACACCGCTATTAGCGTACCACTCGATCCCCTACACTTCAACAGGTTGACGTAATTTCTCCAAGAGGATAGATCGTACACCCGAAAGCCTCGAATATTCAGTCAGATCGGAACGAAAATTCTGTTCGTTCCCCAGACATGCACATTACATCCTATCCTCTTTTTTTTTAATCAGAATTATCGTTCCAGTAGTACAGGGATAGGTCCAAAGTCCAAGCGAATCAAGGGGATAGGAGTCTACGGTGTTCGTCACGTGAATTGCTATCGATCCAATCATAGAGATCCAACCATAAAGAAATAGGTCCTATCGTCAAGCGGAAGCTGGATAGAGGATAGATGCAGAAAATAGGAGCGAGGCAAAAGCGATGATAAAATAGTACTCAAGGAGAGATGAAACCACCTTACGAACCGACCGTATCGTGGTTATCTCTTAGGAGATGGGCTGCTTACCTCGAGCCTCGGCCGATCCGTCTCCTTACCCTCGTTCGTTAAGTTTGCCAAACTACAGTAGGAAGCCCTCTGTCCCGAGGAGGTCGGTTTCGTGATTTTTTTGGTTCATGTTAAGAAGGTTTCATGCACGGCCAGGGGGGTACGCAGAGACCAAACAAAAAGAAAGAAACAGCACGGGCTGCGGGTTAGTGTCGTGAGTAAATTATTACGAAGCGATACACCTTCATTCTCGAGTTCGGGGATCCAACGGTTGGGCGCGTCCAGTATACCCACGATCCATCCAAACCTTATTCCACGTCAGAATCAGACCGATACAAATGTATTCGACGCGTTAGGAATTTTTCTAGCGCCCGGAAACCGCCTACGATATCATTACTGCACGCATGGAAATTACCACGATCACTGGTGGCAGCTGGAAAGCTTGGATTGTAATGGATCAGACATACAGGGTGATACAAAAAAGGGGTTCGTAACTTCTGGGGTAGATTAGTACTTGCCAAATAATGAAATCTCTACCCTAAAAATTATGAACCATTTTTTTGTAACACCCTGTTTATTTTTTTAATACTAATCAGTGTCTTCTGTCGTGATACTATATTCAGCTACCATCGGTATTCTCCTCCACACATCGTGATATATTTTCCGAATTTTTCTTCTTCCAAAACCGATCGAACCAGCGAACGTGTTAATTCGAGTGTATCTCGAAGAGATCCTCGTCGATAATCGAACAACGAGGCGAACTGGCATCAAGCAATGTGTGCGCACACATTCACTGTAAATGGCTGCCAATCGACTCGATACGAATCTCGCCCAACCGTTGCATCGCCAGAGAGAAGAAAAGAGGACGAAGGAGAAAAACGAGATTGGAGAACGTTCGGAGACAGTTGGAATTGTTCGAATCGCGTGTCGCGATTTTTGGCATCGGATGTTGCTTTCGCCGCCGTGACTCGAATAAACGTACACACATACATTCAGATGTACTTGGATTCAACGTAGCCCGTTCCGCTGTTATCGTTCCACTCGGATCGATGCAAATCGAAATTCCGAGGTTCGTCGAACCCGACTCACCGCGAGTGAGAACGGAGCACCGAATTTCCCGCGATCCAACGATCGCGTGTGAAAATATACACAAGCTTGCGCGCGTTCAATGAATCGCTAGGAACGATTTCACTGCGCTCACACGGCCAGGAATTATGTCACCCGAACGATGAAATCCGTAACCGGGATAAACCGTGTGCACGCAAGTCGTAGGAAGAAAAAAATAACGAAGAAGAAGAAAAAAAACTTGCGGGACCTCGATTCTCCCCGTGTGTGTGTGTGCGCCCGTCTTCTACAAAGTGGGGCAAATGAGTAGTAGGTTATTATCAAAGCCGGCCCTCCCTTAAATGGAGAGACAGCATTCGTGGCGTGACGACGACGGGCGAACGACTCGAGAGCAAAACGCGCCTCTCGAACGCGAGCGTACTCGAGCGGATCGCTTACTTACTCCACGTGGCACGCCCTGGAGACACTCCAGGGAGAATCGATCTTTTACCTAGCTGATCCCTTCTTCAACGGTCTCTGTACTGCTCTTAACCCTGGAACGACTCTGCTCCCTCTCTATTGAATAATACGAAGGGGACTCTAAGATCATTGAAGCTTCTACAGAGTGAAACGAAAGTGTTGTACGTCCCTGAAAAAGACTCGCGAGGTGATTTGAAACAAGTTTTGTTAACGAGATATTAAGGAAAAACCCTGACCAATCAGAGCGCGATTCTAAATTCGCGGGATCGGTATCGGCAAGCTTGTGTTACCGTATCGTTCGTGTAAGAATAGAAATAATTCTAGCCGTCTCCGAAGTTCAGCCAACAGGTTCACGAAAGGTACTTACTAGGGCCTTGACCGACACCCCGGCGAAGACCAGCGCGTCTTTGGTGAACTTCGAGTAACCCTTCTCGCATACTCGTAGATCACCCAGCGACCTTGCTTTCTACGATCGTCGGGAGCGTCAACGGGAACTCAGATTAGCGGTAAGTTGCGGACAGTTATCGCGGAGCGTCGAGCTTTGTGGCACACTCTCCCCCATCCCGAAAATTTCTCGCGATGTCGAAGCACACCAGCGAGCAGGAACAATCGAGATCGTCCCGCGAATCGCTTGAAAAGTATCGACGAACGTTCAGAATCGCCTTGGACATTATTATCCCTCGAAGCCACAAAGCTCGCGCGCCCCCCGATGGCGATTAGTATGCTGTTACGATAATCAGGATACAAAATGATTTCGTTCGTCGTCCGGTTAATTCTGACGCCGATTACAACTAGTGATGGACGATACAGTATCGACATATCGGAATTACCACCGATATCTATCGATGCGAAATATCGATACAATTGACATGTATCGCCCATCACTAATTACAATGGATGGACAAAAATGGTTCATGCAATGATCACTGTTAATAGGACTGTCATTCGCGGCGCACACACGTTGCAAAATCGGATGCTGAGCGAAAAACAAAACATGCTTCGAAACGAACTCGAATCGCGCTCGGGACCACGGATGTCCTGGAACGAGTTGACACTGACAGCGCGATCAAAATGTACACAGGGTGGATCATGAAACATGAGCAGTTTAGATTATTTTACTGCTAACTGTTCGAACGAAATTTCTTATTAATCCTTTTTTTTCCAGAGTTTTCCAGGTCAGCTTTAGCTTTTTATAAATAAACCTATAATTTCTTTACGCTCATCTTCTAGCGAATACTAATAACTAAAATGTTCAAAATGGTGTCCATCAGCTGCAATATACTGGCGTAAAATTTTAAATAAATATTTACGTTACAAAAATAGTTCTATTTATGACAATAGAATAATTTAAGCTGATCACGTTTCGTGGTCCACCCTGTATATGTTTCTTCTCGACAGTTAATATTTGGTAGGCAAGCAATTATTTTAAAAACAAAATCAGAATGTACGTTTTCACGGATAAACTCGTTAATTCTTTGCTAAGGTCTCCATCTTAAATCCTGAATCATTTTTTCTAATTAGCGACCCATCGCTCCTCAGGGGAGTTATTTCTTCGTTCGTCCGTCCCTTTAGAGACTACCAATCGAAGGGACTACCTGACGAACGGTTCACGCTTATTGCAGAACGGATTTATTCTTTATACGCGAATGAAAGTGGCGAGAATGAAAAAAAAAAAAAGAAACGAACGAGATATCGATACAAACCTCCTCGGTCTCCATCACGTGATTCGCTTTCCCGTACGCCGTCTGATCGCCGTCGCTCATGCTCGAGATGTCGCCAAAGCTACGACACTGTTAGTGACAACAAAATAAAACTGACAAAAGTGTATCGACAGCCATCGAAGCGGTTTGTTTTTTTTTTTTCTGTCATCAGCCGCGCGCACAAGCGTCTCTCGGAAGATGAACAAATAAATTAAAGAAACAGATAGAAGATTCGTAAATTCGTAACAAAAAAAAAAAAGATTCAACACAGATATCGACGCAATATACAGTAAATTCTCGATGAGTGTTCGGAGGCTCCTGACAAGGACAGATCCCCATGTGTAACGTTGACTTTTCAATGCGATTTAGTACAATAATAGAGCTTGGAATTCGGAAATCAATGTCATTTGTTTCAGCGGCATATGGCCATTAGTTTATGAAATATTTAATATCCAGGAACCTTCGAACACTCATCGAGAATTCACTGTAAAATTGTATTATACGTGTGATCGGTCGATTACAGATCGAAAACAGAAGCGAAAGAATCGAGAGTTATGCACTCTCTGTTACTCACCAGCTGCTTGATCGACACGCCGGTGGCGATCTTTTCCTTGATCGATCGATCCTGCTCGTAGCGAGTAGCCCCCGATACATATGTCTGTGTCTGCATGCACAAAATACAATGCACAAAGCTAGTCTCACATGCGAATCTGGTCACACTACACGGTGACTCAACGATCTACTCGCGGACTTGTCGATCGAACGGGCGGGGACAGACATTTCTACGTTAAATCTTGATTACGACTCTCGGAGTACGGAATAGACATACAGTGGGTGAGTGTGTTGTGTTTGAGTGATCAACTTTGATCTATAAAAGAATCTATTTTTTTTCTCTATACTCTATGTTGTACTTATTTCACAACTACAGGGTGTCTCGCACCTAACGTGAGCACCTCAAATATCTTGCTCTCTATTAGCAGAAAATTTTTTTTAACTTAAAATGATGTCCATGAATTTCGATACATTTTTGCAGTAATCTTTCTATCACAGTTACTTCATTACTTTTTGTACTCAAGGTCACATGAAGGTCACACTATTATAGATCATTGGATTGGCCTTGATCTTAACCATTACGCCATGCTGATAAAAATATATAGTATTATTTAAAATAACATCGATGACCTTGAAATTTTGAAAAATATGTCCTTCAGAAAAAATTTTGCGTACCATAGTATTTGCTCCTTCTAACAAAAATTTTCCCTCACATTGTTTTTGTATCTTTCAGAACAAGTTACATATTAAAGGTCTTTACGTTAGGTGGGACACCCTGTATACTTATAATGTATTGTATTGTTTATTGTTTTTCAATATAGATCGATTTATAGATCAAACAGAGCACCAGGTCCCATAACGGGTAAAAATTGTCCAAGGGATGGTTAGTATACGTTTACAGTCTTCGACAAAGGCATCAAATTCCGTGCAACTTTTCGTGAAACGTTTCAGATTCGATTTCCAATTAGTACACTTCTTCCCATTTCGAGTGTTCATCGAAAACGACCGTTCATGGGCTCACGCGATCCCCTCGTAACTTCGATCTCGTTGGGATCTCGGACGAAATCGCGATCAGCGAACGATCAGACGAAGCTCGCGATGGAATAAAAAAAAAAAAAGAAAAGATAAAAAAACAATGAATTATCCGAAGGAAATTCCTCGCACGCGACTCGGATTCCTCGGTACGGTTTGCGCGAGAGAACGCGAACGGGACACGCGAGTTTAAGAAACCGCGCGCACTTAACGCGTAACGGGGGTCCCTCGACGCGAGTCGAATTCGATCACGGGCAATTTCCTCGGACGCGGCTCGTTTCGACGGAATCACTGGGAAAATTCCATTTCGTTGCTCGCGAGCTGACTCCCTTTTTGTCGTTCCGTCCCCGTGGCCACGAGCTGAATTACGTACGTACACAGGGTAAATTCAGAAGAGACGCCACCGATTAATACGATCTTTTTTTTTATTATAATAATACGCTCGTAACGTTACGAAAAAATACAAACGACTTGTAAACTTTTTTCATGTGAAATGAACAAAAATTTAGAGGAACTAGGTAATTGTAATTGTCTTGAAATAATATTGTAATTACAGAGTAACTGTGATTTGGATTTTGCAATTATATTACATTTTGCCCAAATCTGAGTAAATGTTGCCAAACCGGCGTCTCTCCTATATCCTGTAGGAGAGATGCCACCCTTTTTGGTTGAGAACCAACACCATTTTGGAGAACCAAAAAACGAATTTACGAGGGTCTGAAGTATTTCTCAAGTTCAGGACAATAATCGAGACGAGTCTGTAGACTTAAGCATTTTCGATTGAAAAATTCAAGTATTCCTTCCAAAAATAAATACACAATGCAAAAAATAAAAAGACATAGTTCGGTTTAATACCGATATTCCCGACGTTATCAGTACAAAAAGATGCAATATTATGTAATTATTATGTTTGAATCGAAAGATATTAAAAGTGTGGCGTCTCTCCTGAATTTACCCTACGTACAACCGCGGCTCGGCACTTACCAGCGACTTGACGTTCACGTTCGACAGATCGTCCTCGTCCGAGAAATCGAGGGAATCCGGATGCGTGCGCCGGGAACCGGTGTGCATGCTCGGCTCTCGCAAGTTAGAGTTCTGACAAAAACAGAAGAAACACAGGCACACTTGTACATACATGCAACCGATCGCCGTTACGGACACAAGGTTCACGTTCGAGGATCGGACATATCTCCGAGGGACACGTCGACCTTCGTCTTCGGAGCATTCCGTCGTCTGGGATTCTTCAACAGTTCGAAACTCCCGTCAAAGTACATACACAAAGGGAAACTATAAGCACGGATCTCGGAAGTGTGTTGAAATGGTACCGGGAGCGAAACTTTTTGTCTCGTTCTCGATCGGCGTCTTTGTTCGACGACTTTGTGTTTCTTGAAGCAGAAAAGAATGGTTCCCTGTCGCGTGGAGGAGTTTCTCAAAGAGTACGTCAGGGATTAGATTACAAGGAAAACTGTTCGGGGAAAAGCTAGTCGTCGGAATGCTAGCGAAGGAAAGATTCCCAGCCATCGGAATGTCCAAAAGCGACGATTCTTCAACGCCGTGGGGAACGGAAGTCCTGAATTCCTCCGTTTAAACGCGCGATGTCGATTCCCAAACAGCGAGACAATTATCCCAGAAAAACGCACAAAAGGTAGGAAAAGGGAGTACGTATCCCGTTTCACTTCTGTTTAGCGTCAATTAAAGTGAAAACACGGTGGAAACTCTATCGCGAGGGAATCAACGCGGCATGCGAATAAGGATTAAACAGCGGACTTCCGGTTTTGGCGCATGCGACGATCGTCTCCTTCTGCCCGATGGATGCTCCGACCACTAATTAACACGATAACGGTTCCATGCACGGCATATTACGTATACCCACGTCTCCTCGGTCTCACCGATCTCGATTCGATCGTCTTCAATCGTTCCTATATCCGCCGGAAGCCGAGCTTTACGGTTGGAACCGAACAACGCGGTAGGTTCCTGTCTCCTTGTCGCGAAACTACCCTGTAGAGAAACCAAAGAGGATAGATTTCGTGGTTTCGTCCACTTACCACGGAGATGTTTTCCTTCTCGAGCTCGCTTTTCTTGCTCTTCTTGGTCTTCTTTGTACGGGGAGTGAGGTTCGGCGAGGCATCGTTTCCAGCGACGCCCTCGATCTTCTTCTTCTTCGTCTTGGTACCGTTCTTCGTCGTAGACGAGGTGACCACGGACGAAGTCGTTGTTATTGTCTCCTCGCGGCTTTCGCTCTGCGTTTCATAGAAAAAGAACACTTTAGCTCTTACCTATGTCATAAACATCTTTTAATAGCGAGGCTATTTAAATATGGGACACCCTGTAGATGAAAATTTCAGTTCTGTGTAAGTTTTATAGGAAATAACGGTTCTCTGAAACTGTATCAAGAACCCAAATCGATATTATAACAGTTCTCAACCCCTGCTTTCAATCCTCGCGATATCGACCATTTCCGGTAGAATGTAGGAAATGTGACGTCCAGGTGCACTTGAACTTACTGGAATTTTCATTTATATTTATAAACGTCACGGATCGATAGATTGATTCGAAACGTGTGTCGTGTACATCAAACAGGTTCGTACGTCAGTTTTTTATACCCGGGGAGCACGCGCAAACCGATAGTTTAACATAATCTTGCAGCCGAGCCTCGTGATCGGTAACTGTCCACGAAATTAAAGAGTGTGACGCTCGAACAATTTCCTTAACAACGTCTCGCGGATTTTCCTCGGCGAACACGTCAGAGAGACATCCGCAGGGAAGGATCGGCTCTTAATGTTGCGAAATATTGAAAGTGGAGTCGCTAATAACAGCGATCAACGGACGAGAACTCGAACGGTCCGACCTCCTTCCGACCGTTTTTCTCCTTAGTATATCCGACGATGGCACTTTTCGATCGTTTTACTCGCGGGACGAGCGCGAGATAGATAAGCAAACTCGACGGAGGAGCGATTATTTTTCATGTTTTTTCTTCTCTTTCACGGAGATATGCTAAATTAAGGCTGTGGCCTACTATTTTGCATATTCGAAAGGTGACACCCCGACTGTGTAATTACAAAGAGGAGACGCGTAGGAAATGGTAACTCGTCTTCCTGGCACGTGAAACTGTCAATCATCTCGGTGAATCAGGTTGAATTTTCAACCGACGGAATTTAACGATCGACCAACAATTTCTACGCCGTTAATTCTCTGATTTATATAATCATAAAGAAATTGTTGAATGTTCATTGAATTAAAGAGGAATAAAAATTCATTTTCTAGAGATTCCAGAACGGATGATATTTTCTTTTTTATTAAACGAGGGCAACGTATTCATCGTGACACTGATTCCATTAGTTTACAGCCTTTTGGTGACCGAGACTCCACTATGAAATTCTAATGTAAGGTGGTACCCTAAACTCAAAAATCGACATGAGAGGAAATCCGAAGGATACGTTTGTGAGATATCGCCCGATGAATATTTTGGTATTTTTTCAAAATTACCAAAATATTCATCGGGCGATATCTCAAAAACGTATCCTTAGGATTTCGTCTTATATCGATTTTTGAGTTTAGAGGACCACCATGCAAAAGAATTTCATTCAATTCTTTGGATTTTGTAAACTAGTGTTCTTAGCGAAAGGGGAATGTATCTGGATCAAGATTGAGCACCCTATCTGTTCCTGCGAACTCATGGAATCTTATCAATCTTAATTAACATCGTGTTAATCAATGCACAGATCTGTTTAGATGCGATAGCGGACGCGTTAGGGGGACACTCGTCAAGCATTTATTTCTTCAATTAGTAGAATGGATGAGTTACGGTCGTCGTATCGCGATGAATGGGCAAGCAACGTTGATTCGAAGCGACCGACTGTCGTGCATTCCATCCCCACGCGTTAATAAGGTATTAACGACCGGGATAGATATGAATCGCGTAGCCTTACGATCGGCTTAACGAGCGAATCGCGGTTCGCCGCGAGAAACCGCGTTGGATTTTTCGACGAACGGTCATCCTGATTCCCCATCGTAATAAGCATTCCTTCCACACGAACAACAATTGGATCGAAATTGTTGGTCGAACCGAAAGTATTAATTTTTGTGTTTTGAATAATATTGTTTCATTTCAGATTTCGTTCCTGAGAAATGCGACTTTGAAAATCTACTGGACACGCGTGCAATTGAATAAGACTTTTGACTACCGCGTCTGTTCACTACATTCTGTTTCTACTTACTATCATGACGAATATACGCGTTACAGATAAATCTTCAAATTCGATTTTCTCGAAAACTATGCCTCGGATGCTAAAATTTTATCGTACATTTTCGACTTATTTTCTTATGTAGAATCACCTCATCCCTGTCTGTACCATCAATACTGAGACACTACGTTGCTCAAATCAATGAAATATTAAATTTTGTAATACTTCCTGAGATATTTATAATTAAATTTAATAAAAAAATTTCGTGTCAATCTTTTTATTCTGAAATTATTTAAAAATTATCAAAGAAATATTTTGTTGTATTTTTGTGTATATTCACAGATACGAAAAAATACATGATTATGAATCTAGAATACGTAGCCATACGGCAATAGTGGCAATAAAACTGCTAAATGCCTATTTTTAATTTTTTCTCAAATGATGCAGAAGGTTTAGGACAGTAAAATCCTCTCGACGATAAACACGCTCCTCTTCGTCGATAAAACGCGCCTTGAACAGCGGGAAAATCTATGTAAACGACGCTTTTCTACAGCTAGAGGATAAGTAATCGACACCTTTACGAGCTTCCTAAATGGAACGGTGATTTTCTCACGGTGATTTTTATCGTGCTCGTTATGCCTAATGAATTTCCGGTCTGGCCATCGTCCCCCCTTGGGTTCACGGACGTTGAACGACCGACAAGGAAGTCGACTGACCGACTGTCTTGCACCACGATTCATAGAAAAACATCCCTCCCTGCTTCACGACGATACCGTGTATAACCGTGTTTTTCCTTTTAATTGACACGATCGCGGGATAACGATACCGTTTTCCACAATAAATATTCATAGACTGAGTCGAGTGGATCTGACTGTAATTCCATACGGTGTTGGTAAACAGAACGATCGAACCATCGAGAATATAATGATCCCAATCGATACGAGGTAGGGGATCTCAAGAGGAGAAGATAATCAACCCTCATTACCTGAGAATATCAACGAGATACCTCAGGATGCTCGATGCCTAGACGTAATAGAGTCTAGACAGATCTCTTCTCAGTCACGAGATCAACGCAACCACGTATAGTACACCACTAAACTGCAATAAGTTGTTAATCTGTTTATGCAAGTAAGGAATTTCTGATACCAATATCTAAAAATTAAAATGGAGCAGAATTTTGAAGTCTGTGAGTTTACTACAAAAAAAGGATTCATCGAAGCATCTATTTTATTGCATTTTCCAAATAAAAGGATGCTATAAATGCGTAACAATTCCCAGTCTATACATCGCCTTGGGAGGAGATTATTAATTACATCAGACAGGCGAAAGTTCGTACCCGCGAAATTCCTTTTGGTCTGGTTGTCACGGATACTTTAATGAAGAGATCCCGAAGCAAATTAGTCGCGGAGATTGTCGGGGCATTCGAAGATGACTTTATCCACGATCTTATTATTAGAAGACAAGGGGGAGGGGGGAGCGGCAGGTGATCGGGCACAATGGTTCGTTACCGGTGGTTCGCGATCGCTTGCGATCGCTCGCGCGCGCAACAGAGACATGTAATTACGGTGCCCACGTGACTCGAGGAACCTCGATACGAGCCGGTGATTACGCGGCATCTTCCCCGAAAGTGGAGGTGTTTCGAAACTTTATACAATGTTGTTGCATCGTTTCCTCGGATAATATGATCCTGCGGGTTCGATTTCCCATTCAAATAACCTTGTAATTCGACAAGTTTGACTTACATTCACAGGATACCTAATAGGTACATAAATTTAATTGTTTATATCTCGACCATCTACACCTGATATTTCACATACACCATTAGGAACGTGTATACTATCATCTCACAAAAACCCCTGTTAAAATCGAAGTCGGACAGTTCGGATCCTTCCCTTGTGAGGGTTAGATCGAAGACGATCTATCGTTGTCCCGATGAAAAATTAGATGGTCACGGTGAACGGGAGCAGCACCGACTGGCTTTCGTAACAGCAGCATCGACGAGGACGAGAGACTTTCTAATTCGTCGGTGAGACGACGATAATGATTCACTTTCACAATTTTTGGATCGGGTCCGACCTCTTGGGAAACCTACGGACGATCTCTTTTACTTAGGGATGGCTGTGATAGCGTTTCGTGGATTCTCTATCCGATAATGCCACGTTCTCACGGGAGGCTCAACGTTCTCTCACAGGTGTCTGCTGAGAGTGAAGTGTACACATACGATCTGAGTCGACTGATCGATCGTGTGGGAACGGGGCTTAATTTGTATCCTCCCATGAACCGTGTTCCGATAATATAAAATAGGGTAGATTTCCCAATTACTGCCAGCTTAATTCATTTAATCATTTTCCGTGTTGTTTGACCTAATAATCGTCGCACTTGGAAATATAATATTGTCTAACATCTCTTTCATTAAAGAAAAGTAGTTTTAAACATTAAATATGAAGAATTAATTAGTTAAAATCTGTGAGCAATCGCCAGAGTCCCTATAACTGTCACCTCGAAAATGAAAGTAATTCTTATACAGGGTATTCCAGGAATAAACGATCAAATTGCTCCAATATGTTCTATGAGTAAAAATAAAAAAAAAAGTTATATGAACATAGGTCTGCAAACGCTTTATTAGATTGAAAAGAAGTTTATGTTTCCATTTCAAACCGCCGACCGCCGTTACGAATGCAAACTTGACATAGTAAACATGGCTAGAAGGAGCAGATTCCATAAATACCGTCGGCTTATTATTACATTCCGATTTATATACAACGAACTCGCTATTGACTTTAGGTTTCATATTTTTAATACACCTTTTTTATAAAGCGTTTGCAGGCCTATGTTTATACAACATTTTTTCCCTTATTTTTATATATAGAATATACTGGTGAAGTTTGATTGTTTAATATTGGAATACCCTGTATATTTTAACAGTTCATTTTGTGCAATGGATATAGGTTGAATGGTAAAATTACGGCTCTTGCTTTAGTATGATTTCAGACCATCATTTCCTACTTACGTAGTTTTCTTTTTGACGCTCAAATTACACTTTCATTTTTCAACACTAATTTCTAAATACCAGATACATAACAAGTGCATGTATTTCTTTATTTTGACGTGAGTTCTTTATACGTTATGTTTTCATTAACTAAAATAAATAAAGTGACAGTATTAGGGACACTGGCACTAATTGGGACATTCACCCTCGATCTGATCCATAAGAATTTCGATGAGTGTACGACAAGTTTTCGAAGACACTAATACACTTCCGATTTTGAAACACTCGATAAGCGACGTTTACCGTAAGTGCGCACTGAATTTACAAAAAAAAGAACATATTTCACCTGTGATAAATCGAATCTATTGCAAGACACTGTGGAATACACTTTCAAGGGGATTCTAGTCACTCCTAATTAATCACCTCGAATCCACAATCTCCATCTACTTCACAATCAATCTTCGATCGCGTTCATCGAACCACGCGGCAGTTGGACGCGTTCAATATAATAAAGATCCTCGCGTTATGAGGTCTTGGCGTCGTCTCGAAGAAGAAACTGCGTGGTTCACACGTACCGTTGGAAAATATACCTGGGTCCCCGTCACGTGAGCCACGTCGTTCGAAAGGAACCGCGTGTTTTCCCCCTATTCGCGTTTCTCGCACCGAGGGATTTCGTGTGGTTCGGTTTCCGGTGCACGACGGACCGGTTCACAGTGGTACAGAACGCCGATTTCGGAATTCAGAAGGTTAATTTGAGTGTAAAAAATCGGAATTTCAAAAACCAAACATGGCAAGCATGTATTCATATTTATGAAAAGAATATAAAATTTATAAGTAATGTTTTTATAAACAAAATAAAAAATTTTTTATAAATTTGTATGAACATTAGATGTATCCACCGTGTTTACGAGTGGACGCCACAACAGCGCCTAAAGAGGCGTTTTTTGAAGGAGAAAGATAGAAGACTACACGAGAATGAACGAAAAGGGATGAAAGAACTAGTGTTCCGTTTGTGATCTACAGTCCTACCTGGGTGATGATCATCCTCGACGAACCGCTGTTGCGGGAGGATCGGTCGCGTACGTGTTACCGGTAAATCCACGACTCCAGAGCGATGTCTGCGCGCTCGCGATACTCTGAAGGCCCAGGTTCAGGAAACTCGGTGCTCTCCAAAGCGTGGACAGAGAGAGAAAGAGATAGGAGCGGGAGGAAATCGTGGGGATACGGTGGATTTCCGCGATTGGCCGTTTCCACCGGACACGGGGCGACGGTTGGCCGCGTACGTGTGGCCAGGTGAAACACGTCTGGGGGGAGAGCAGACGGTGTGTTCAGCCGGCAGAACGAAAGGTGCCCCGCCGGGCCGATCCAGCAGCAAGAGGAGCGTCGGGATTGGTTGCGTGGGCCTCATGAAAGATCGACCTCGATATCGCCGGCCCGAGAGCGTGTTCGACGTAACCGGCGCTCGAGTTTGTTTTTTTCTTCCTTTTTTTTTGGTTCGGGAAAAACGCGCCGTGACACACATATGTGTGCATGTATGTTCCGTGATCTGGCCTGGAAAGCTGGGACCTTGACCAGCTCAAGGTCGGAAGATTTGATTCGAACGATAAGATGGTCGAATTTTGGAGAACTTTATTGATCAGTTCATGGTCGAATGATCCGATTCCAATGATAAGATGATCAAATTTTTGAGAACCTTAGCGTCGAAAGATTCGATTCCAATGACGAGATTATTGAATTCTGGAAAATTTTATTGACCCACTGAAAGTTGAAAGTTGTTAGATTTCCAAATGGCAACGAATGAAAAATGCCGTTAGACGTTTTCTGTAAAAAATGTAAAACGACATCCAAAAATTAGAGAAACCGTGATACTGTGAGCACCAGTACCGTTATGTATCGAGAGCAAACACATTGTCTATAAAAGAAATTTTGTTTAAAATAGTCTTAAAATGATTATTGTTTCTTGATTTTACGAAAAAAGATTTTTTGTGTAACATACTAAAAATATACAGTGTTAAAACACAGCGCTCGGAGCGGAAACGTCGAGGTTGGGCCGATTTCCTGGGTTCTGTCGCGACCTCGATCTTGGTCAAGCTTGTTCCGAGCGGAATAGGTTACTTGGGGTACATGACTACGATGGCCGTTGAACCGGCTCTCTGATAACTCGATGTTTCGTACCGCGACGTTTTGATAAATGGTCGAATCGCTTCCGGTACGCGGCCGATCCGCTCGCGCCTGTGAATTATCGCGGTCTCTTGTATATACCAGTGTCGGCGAGGTGTGTTTAACGTTGTTGTTTGACTTCCACGGCGATATCGTTGTGACTACGTCGAGCATCGATCGATAATGGAACGTGTTGATCGTACTATGAGCTTGGTACACATACTAACATGGACAGAGACAGTCGAATTCATTATCTGGATAAACAGTTTTGAATAACGAATAGAAGACAGAAAACGTAATCTTGATGATCAAACGAGGAAATTCAAATTTTTGTAATGACATACAGTGAGGCACAAATTTATTCACGGATGGCTGTCACCTGAAGTTGACCAAATGGCGAATTTTATGTCAAAATTAATAAAAAGCTTATCATGAAAGGATGATAAAATCACGATAAAAGAAATATATAAATAGAAATTATATGAAAGCTTTTGCAACTATTGTTATTTCAGAAGTTTGTGAACGAATACGTTAGTTATTGTAATACTGGTTTTGGAGCGAGTAGACACTTGGCGAACAATTACCATTAATTGTTTAAAGGCCAGGATGATGGTTTTAGGTACTGCTGCTTTTCACTGTGTATTATTCGAATAAAATTCTGCCTAACTCTGAACGTAGAGTACCTACCAATTTTACGCCCAGGTTTTGGTCATGAACCCTATTATTCATACGCAAGAAACACAATGCCAGTTCCATAAAATTCAATTAACATCAAGTACCTATCCCCTTCCAGACTTATCACCGTTGGATCGTGTATATTTACGGGAGTTCGCACCTTCAGGCGCCAGTTCTACAAAAACTGCCACCCAACAGTAATTCACTACCTTCATTAACAATTTTATGAGATCGATAAATTCGTCGAGACTCGCGGAACACGTTTATAAAAGCGTAAAACCGGCAGCCCAATTACTGCAAGTTTCTCTAGCCGCTTGTTCAGTTCTCATGGGCGTAACCAAGCCGACGAATAAAAGAAGAAATATATCCCGGTGCTTAAAAGTGACGCTGTAAAACGACCTGGAAGCCGCGTCTCGTGGTCGTGATTTCTCTTAATCGGTAAATCTGGCTGTAAAGCGTGTCTAAATCGGTTTAGGGATTATTCACGATTATTCCGTACACCGTACCGCCAGCCTTGTGATCTTTGATACACAAACTCTCCGATTTATCCCCGCTCATCCGACGTATAATCGTCGTTCTTCAATTTTTCAGCTCTCGTTACCGCCTTCACGTCTGCTCGATTCTGTTCTTTAGCCGGTGAAACTACAATTCGCTCTCGGGCGTCGAATAATACGAGCACTCGCGTGTCGTATTCTTCGGGGAGGGTGTCGATGAAGAGAAATAACGGAGAACGAAAGTGGTTACGCGTGGCCGCGCGATGTCAACGAGCCAATTAGGCCTTTGTCGTTTAATGAAACGCGCCGGGTTCGTTCCTCGGCGAGACCATTCACTGGCACGGACAAGCATTGTTCGCGGTTCTCAATCGTTGAGAACTTAATCGACGTATCCAGGAACGAAGCGTGGACTAGGAATGTTCCATTCCGATTCGATTCTTCCTGGCTTGCTCTATCGTGTGCTATGGTTAGATGTTCCCCTAGACCCTAAGTTTTTGAAATATATTGAAGAATATCAACAAAAATTAAATATATTTAGGTGTCTATAATATAATAACAATTAATAACAAACATACTTTTGGCCGTTAATGTAATGTGTTATCGATCCGAATTGGAATCGGACATCCCTAGCGTGGACGTTTCGTGGATCATACAAAAAATAAATAAAAAAAGTTTTCCAGTTCTGATCAGAAACAAACGTGGACCCACCTGACTTCTGCGATGTAACATTTTAAATAAATAAATAAACAGGAAATCAACGAGAATTAATTGTTACGTGAGCGAAATACACGTGGGAGCGCGGGAAACGGGTGTAATTATAGTCTTGGGCACCGGCAGGAGAACCGGAGCCGGAATGGACTGAGAAGTTTCTGATTTCGCATGGAATGACCTATCAAGGATTATCGACTCCGAAATTTCCTGAAGCCGTGGCGAGTTCACTTCAAGCCCTTAGGATTAGGATTAGACATCAAATTCCAATGCACACATCACGCAACACGGAAACCAAACTGCAACGATTCAGGCGCAAGCATCGTACCTTTCTCTATCATAATCCAGTATCCTAAATGGTGTGGTCGAATGGATTTATTGGTAGCAAAAGAGGCAACACTTACGTCACACGCGTTAGAAACGTCGCTGGTCTCGTCATCCGGGGTGGCAAGGGGTGCACGAGTGGTCCCATCAAGGTTCTGGTTCTCCGTTGTCTCGTCGATCAGTTCCGAGTCATTTCCGGACTCGAGGCACTTCGTTTCCGAGAAAATCGTCGCGTTACTGTCGGACGCGACCACATCGGTTTTCTCGATGAACGTGGACTCGGACACTGACAGTTCACTGGACGATTCCGCTATCGCGTTCTGCTCGTCAGCGATATCATTCCCCTCCTCTTTCACTTCATCCTCCTTGGCTGGTACTTCCTCATCCAGGTCCAGCAAACTAACTGTCTGGGGATCAATCTTCTCTGGACTTTCACAATTCTGGGCTTCGTCCAGAAGACGTTCAATGTCCAGTTCCTCTTTTAAAACGCGACGTTCAATGTCTATGAACTCTTGGGTACTCGCTGCATCTGTCAACGCCTCCGATGGGATCAAGATGACATCATCGAAGCTACTAGATTGCACAGTCGACGTTCCTTTAACTTCCTGTTCTGGGTCATCAACAGATTTCACGGGAACCGAACAGTCTTCCAGATCTTCAGGGATCTTCTCGTCGACTGAACTGGAAGATTTATCATCCAATAACACTACTTTGGACTCCTCCACAGGAAGCTGATTCATGTCCCCCGTGTCTTGCTCCTTCCCCGACTCAGCCATAACAGGGTCCAAACACTGGTTGAATTTATTGTTTTCCAGCAACGAAGACTCTTTCGCGAGTTCATGCGCGGAGCACGACTCCACAGTCTGTTGACACAGAGTTTGGTCGAAGTTATCGGAGAACTGACCAGCCTGCTGACCTTCCATAAATGTTACCTGTCCCGTCCAGGTGTCCAATAGGTCCCTCCTTGGTGGATCGTCCTCTTCTTGCGGCCTTGCGTCCATCTGCACTACTTCTGTTACTGAATCCTCTAGAACTTTACTCTCTACCACCTCTTCCTCTTCCTCTTTCTCGTGCTTATCGAAACACGTGGAATGGGTCGTGGTTACTTGCTCGGTGACGGTTTCGTAGGCCGATTCGAAGGACTGGACGGTCATGTTCGGCTCTTGGGGTGGTCTCTCCTCCGTTGCCCGTGGGACAGGATAAATCGGGCACGAGTCTTCGTTGTTCGGGTTATGCAGGCATAACCTGCCATCGTCCACGGAGTCACGTGCAGACTGATCGGTCTCGTCTGTCGTTGTTTTCTGAATGACAATCGTGCCGCCAACTTCCGGTTGCTCGGCGAATACACGTTCCTCCACATCTTGCTTCTCGTCCCGGAAATCCACAGTGATCGGGTCAGGCTTCACTGTCTCCACGTAGGAGGAACCGGAGATCTTGGTGTCCGGTGACACGTGACCGTTCTGATAACTGTACGGCTCCTCGATCAACGAACAATGCTCGGTCTCCGCGAGAATGAACTCGGTGTTCGCGTCCAGCGTGTCCTGTCGTCTGTCCAACACGATCCTCTTCACCGTTTCCGGTTGATTCGAGGTCTCCTCGGGCTCCTCCCCGTCAACGACAGTCTCCTGGTCGTTGTTGGAGCTGATCCTGAGCGCCAGCTCGCTCTCGATCAGCTCCTGCAGGCTCTTGTCGTCTGTGTTCAACTCGTTACGGGTGTTGTTAGTCAGGATTAGATCATCCTCGTCGTCGTTCGTGTCGCACAACGATATTAATTGATTGTTACTCGCGGTTAGGTTATCCAAATCTAGCAAACCGTTGTTAGACTGCACACCGCAAACCTCGTTCTTCTTGTTACTTACGACGTTTATCGATTTCTTCGTCGCCACCTCCGCCATTATGGCACGCCTCGATCCTCGGATAGTCGCACCGTGGACACCTGCAAAAAAAAAACAGGATGTTTTAGACAAACATGTATGAAAGTAGAACCACTATTATTATTTTAACATTAGAACTACCAAAGCAATGTCAAAATGACCTGATTCGTGGGCTACTACAAAAAATAATGAAAATGTGACAACACTGTACAGTGGACTCTAACTATATTGCCACTAAACACATTGCTACGCGAGGCCCTCCCCACCAGCACGATCCAGCTTTTGCGCAGGCGCCGAAGCTATGACGACGGAACTTAGCATGGAGGGGGTACTCAACTCATTGCCATTTTACTCCCCTTTAGCCCCGACCATGGCAATATAGTTAGAGTCCTCTGTATTTACTGTCGCTTTTACCAACACGACGAAAATAGAAGCATGTTAAACTTCGGCAGTTCTAATGTTAATATTTCGAGTAACTTGACGGTTCTTCAGACCATCACGATTGCTACGGGGCAAAACAGTTCGAGACACGATACACGCACGATGATGAATCCTGTTGAAATAAATGGCGAGGAGTTTTACGATCACGCGAAGGCAAGCCTCGCCGCGAGTGGCCCCATAAACAGAACGGTCAATGGAACGTTTGTTATTCGACGGCGTGTCGCTCGAGCTGCAAAATTCACGATAGGAATTCCGAGAGGAACCGCCCCCTCTCACCTCCCTTGTTCACGATACCCTCGATTTACGCGATGCAAATAATAGATCGATGCTCCTCCGGCAATTTGTACACTTACGAGGGACCACTCGGGGTCCGACCGGTCGGAAGCGATCAGTTTCACGTCGCTTTCGTAGTCTCGTTCGAAAGAAGGTCACCGCCGGGTATTTCGGGACGAACAATTTTCCCCAGGTCTTAATTAAGGGATGAAGGCAGGAGGGAAACGGATGGGTCTTAATTCAACGGCCGAATTAGACTCTAGAGAGGCTCTGCCTCGACTGCACACGATCGTACACAATTCAAATCAGGGAAATATTGGACTTCCTCGGAACTAGAAAACATTGTTTTACATCGTATCTGTCGCTGAAACGTCTTCAACAACATTCTATGACTCGTCGATTTTATAAAATCATCAAGATGAATCCAGAAATATTCATTTACAAAGAAGTATTCAGGAAGATATTCGAAAATTCATGGATGTACCAGAAAAAGAAGATATACCCACCAAAATTCCGACAGGAAATGTCTGAACTGTAGTTAGTAACTTCTATAATAGGGTTGATTTATGAATACAAAAATTTGTTTTATATTGTGTACTTTTTCACCCACGTAAATCTGATGAACGTCAGAGTGATGCGTCGTGGGGTTAATAATTCCGCGTGTTTTGGACGATGCTGTTTCATCCGCAGTCCGACGATTACGAAAGTATGCAGCCGGAGATCCTTTCCTAAAACGGCGACTGGGGTGCTATTCTTAGATCGCTCTGCATTCGTCGAAGAAGGAAATCTATTCTTCTTCAGAGGATCGCCTACTTGATTCGCGGCTGTGGCCGCTGCAACGGCAGGAAAAACGGGCCATGTCACTCATTGATTTCCTTCTCCCTGTCGATATGGCCGCGTTCTTCACGACAGAGGCCGCGAGCAATGAAATTAACGGAAGACACGGCCGCATGGAAGACAGGAAGCGGTGCAGGCCAGCGTCGTTGGCTGGCAAGCCAAATCCTCCTATTATTAGCCATTCCGTGCGTACGTGTATTTATGCCGTACCGACGGGAGCGTATTTCGAAAATGAAACCTGAAACTAGTCAAGGATACCCGGAGCTACGTGCTGGAGTTCAAGACTGGGATGATTTTTCAGCTTGTCTCGTGACAGAGATCGGAAGGTTCCCTGGCGTCTCTAATGGTCGACAGTTATGATATTCCGTTACTCGGACCATGTTGCATGGACGTTTTTAGCGTATCACGCGGCAAGACGAGCCGCGGAACTACATATTCCCCTAAAGTGGTCGTTAACGAATACCTAACTGTCCCGTCCCCGTCGATACAGTAACGTTACGCGAGTTGATCGAGACCAGCCTCCCAGCTGAACGAGTTCCGATCGCACGATCTGTCGTAACTGTCCCAACGTTCGAAAGAAGCCGTGATTCCGTGACTTTTAGGTGGTGGACGACCGCCGCCCACATTAATCCTACGCGTTCCAACCTGAAAATTCAAATTTCCCGCGTATTTCTGGTAGCAACAACAACTCGACAAATTCCAGGATGTATAGCCAGCCGGCCACGGATCATAAACAGAGAAGGGAGACGGTTCGAGTCGTACCAGTTCCACCATAAACTAACGCGCGACGGGGCGCGGTAAAATTAGAAAGCGGTCGCCTCGGAGTGCGCATGCGCCGGTGCTATGAACATGCGCACTGGCTAGCTTCCCGCGACGCTCACCAAGCAGCACTGTGCCGTGATATTTAAAATCGCGCCTAGAACGTTTTCAGAGGGCCTGTCGTCATTCTGCCCGGTACTCTTAAAGTCTTCTGCGCGCTGCTCTCCTGTTTAATTTAATCTTCTGCTTGCTTGCTCTTTCTCCCTCTTTCTTTCCTCCTTTCTCTCATTCGTTGCTCTTCGCGTGTATACGCGTCTCTTCTTTCCGTCCATCTTGCCTGTACGTCGCTGCTTGGCCTCCCTCCTTTTTCTCCTTCTTTCCCGCGTCCCTCCTCTTCCTCCTTTGGCCAGCGCGCGTTTCTCCGAGGTCGTTCTTCGGGTTCACGACCGGGACTAGAGGAGAGCCACGATCCCTTCTCTCTTTCTCCCGGATCGCGGCTACTCTCTCGTTTAAACCTCTCTCTATTTTTAGAATGACACACTACCGCGATTCAACGACGCGCGAGCGCGAGCGCGCAAGCGAGAGAGGAGAGGCCAGGTCGCTCTCTGCGCGTCCCGCGGCTGGGAAATCCTCTGCCCAAAAGCGGCCGCGAACGAAAGGGACGGTGAGAGGAGACACCCCCCCCCCACTCCCCATTCATTCAGAGAATTTTTTGATTCGATGGATTTCGGGTGGATCGTTTCGCGGACAGATCACTGTATATACAGTGAATCATCGATGAGTGTCCGAACGCTCCGCGGGACTCACAAGGGGAAGTCCCCAGAGGTGGAAGATTCTCCATTAACCGTTTAACTCCCAGTGTTGCACTGGTGCAACAACCAGGTTCACAATTTTGAAACAACGATTTAAAGGTCTGGGCGTTAAAGGGTTAGATTGCATTATCGTGAACATCGGTAACGTTTGCTCCCCTGTTTCTCTCTCGTTTCAACGTTCATTCGGTCTCCAATACCATCGATTTATAAAACATTAATCACAAGTAGAGATTAGATTGAGCTCCATCTCCCTATAATTCTCTCTGGTTGATCGTGTCACGAATGGATACGAGAGTATGACGTTTCACGAACGAAAGCGCGAGGAGGTTCCACACGGTAAATTGCAGTATCATGTACTATTTGCACAATCATTCCGAAGCGCTGGAGGCAGTGGCGGCGGCGCGGGTGAACGTACCGCGAGGGTGTCTGCCCGCTTTCGTCTCGTTTCTGTGCCCACTTCGGATGTCGCAACCGCATTATAATTGCGCGCTGCCCCGACACGACTCTGGCGCGCCAATTTGCGTATGACGCGCGTTATGGCGCCCCAGTTCGTGTGTATAGAAACCCCGAATAAATCCACCCACGTCCTTCTGTTTGCGAAATCGACGGTTGATTGGTTCGATATATTTTTCATTGGTTGCGCGCACGATTATGGTGACCATAATAATTCCACGAACAGGGTTCCCACTACGCGCAAACATCCACTGTTTATTCATGATTTTGATCTATGGATGAATAAACTGAGTGAAATATTCTTGGAAACGGGAGAATCAGTTAAGATTGGCAATTAACAGACGCGTTAATCGACCGAATTTATGTAACCGATGCGGCGAGTGAAAGGGATCGATTACCCGGTGTCGTCGAGTCGCCAGTCGCGTCCCACCGTGGATTTATTAACCGCACAAGGGGGAAGGGAGGTACCGCCGCACCTGAGTCCGACGAGGACGTAATTGATAATGGAAACTTTACTTCCGTATGTTAATTCGTGTACAACACGCCCGTTTCGGCGACAGAATTCCGGGTTTAAGGAACCCACCGTGAAAATAAAGACGTTCCTATAAGATCCCATAAACGTCACATAAATCTGTTTCTGTGGATTATTCATTGAAGGCCCGTCTTGAGACTCGAGCGAATGTGACGTTCTCGACGAATTAGACAATTGTAAAGACTACCGGTCGACTGGCCTCGAATCGATGCCTCATCCTTCCTGATCGGTTTCTACGAACCGTTATCCAATGAAGAATCAATACTCGAATCATTTAAACCATCTGTGACGATTATAGATCCTATCTAACAGATTCTACATACAGAATAATTCTTAATACTTTATTGCCGGTAGGTTTTTTGCGTTTGTAAATATACAACTTCGGGTGTTCTAAAAATATTTAGAAACTACTTATAACATACGTGTTACTCCTTTTTGGTTGAGGTGACAATCAAAGTGTTAAAAGACAACTATCGACGAAAGACCAAGAAAACGAAGGAAACACCTTTCCAAACGATCTATTGGTGCATAGAAAACCAGAAGGAGGGCGGGAAAAGTCAAGTGATCGGCGCGAAACAGCAAGATTTATCCGGAAATCGCGGGACCGCAGCTGCCTAGTCGCACGCGAGCCAGGAATCTTCCGCGTGCGTGCGTATGCTTGCGTTTTCACTGCAACCCGAGTGCATAAGGCGCGGCACACGGTGTCTGTCCCTCTCTTTATCTCTTTCTCTTTCTCTTGCTCTCTCGCGGTGTCCCCTTACAGATTTCTATGCAACTATAATTAGGTAACCGACTCCGGTTCTCCGTAGGAATCCCTGTTAGCCGTGAAGCTATGCCGGCGCGGAAAGTGGCGCGAATATTTTCGTCGCGAGGAAAGCCGAAATTAAACGCGCCGCCGCGAACTTTTACCAGTCCACCACCAGGGGCCCCGCACCGTCGCGCGTGTATACTTAAC